ACTAAATACAGGTCGTGCGCGCTAGCGCCTCGCTAAGCGAGCATGTGACATCCAGCCCTCGTGACCATAACCGTCACACTAGTAGGTATGTCATTTGATGATATTTTGGTTTAACACGAGTATCGTCGAGGAAAATGGGGTTTGAGGAGTTCGTTATTAAGGTGTATATAGTATGTATAGGTAAACCCCATTATCACTATCCTTCTAAGGTTCGTTCTTAAGGTGTATATAGTATGTATAGGTAAACCCCGTTATCACTATCCTTCTAAGGTTCGTTATATGGCAGGATTTATAGTGAATGAGGATGAAGGCTTAGTAAGCTACTCGTATAGTAGGATATATCCCACCCCGCTACTGCCACATGCCTTTAATACTACTACTAATATCTAACATATCGTTAGCTATACTTTTGTAAGCTCTTTTGTCCTACCTACATTCCCCTCGCTAGAAGGCTTGCCTGGCGATTTAGGAGGGTTTTAGATCGAGTTATACCCCTAAAAGAGATACGGTTTCATACTTCTTTGCCTACCTAGCCGAAGTTATCGTTGCCTATCTGGCTAAAGTTGCCGCCCTACTCTATACTTTATGTTTTACTAGATAGAGCCTTTAGATTAGTCTATAATATAGTCAAAGTCCGAGTATTTAACGCTTGTTTTTACCCTATCCACATTCCTCTCGTTAGAAGGCTCGCCTTACAATTTTAGAGGGTTTTAAACTCTAGCTTAGAGGGTACTTTATGCCTTACTTTCTACAAATCGAGCCTTCTAATTAGCTAGCTAATATACCAGCTGGAATTATGAGTGGTTCTAGTATGTGGGCAAGGTAGCACTGGAAGTAGTTAGTTAAACTACCCTCGCAAGGGGTACGTAGCCGAGGGTACTTATTCTTTACTTTCTACTTACTTTACATATAGGCGAATTATAAGTACTTAAAGCTAGCCAGTAATATAAAAGAAAACTAATAATAAGCCTTATTTGATATGACGTATACCGATTGACGATTGAACATAAATATTCATTACATCTACATCACTACCTATGTAAAGCAGTGGAAGTAAGTTTTATTACCAGGTATACATCTCACACCTCAATCAATTGAATCCCAACCATCACAAAACCCTCGAGTCCAAGAAACCTCTTATTTTACTTTCTTTATTTTCACTTCTATTACAGCAGCAACCATCAGCCCACAAAAGGGGCATTCATTCCATTCCAATCCCCCTTCCAAGCCTTTAGTAGGCATTCACATTCAGGAATCACACATCTTCCTCCTCTCTTCTCATCTGCTTCGCTTCGTTCGCATTAAAGCTCAACAAGGGTATCTCCACTCAATCCAGACAAATCACATCCTTCTGTCTGTACAGTACATCTCAAACTCCACATCATCACTCCACTCCCTCTGTAGCTCTTCTACCCAGAGCCAGAAATCAAAGCAAAGGAAACAGAAACACGCTTAACAACAAGCAGCCAGTGATGACTCATCTCTTGTACCGTTGTTCCTCTGCCAAAAATGGGTATCTTCTAAAAGCACAACCCTGGTCCAGAAAAGAAAACCCTGTTCCACAGTAAACACAAAGCAATCACGTACACATACCAAAGGAAAATCATCAACGTTGTTGGCAGTCGGGGGCCATTATACCCACTAGGGGGGGAGAAAAAATGAAAACAGAGAATGTAAGGATCCTATCGGACAAGGATTAAATCAATGTAAAGCAAATAAAAGGGGCCACCATGGGCTCCTAAGGGGTACAAGAAGTGAGTATGCAATCCCATTTAGGGATTGACGTGTAAAGAGTGTGAGGTGGGGAGACGATTATTTTTGAATCGCCTTGCTGTAATCTTTGATTTCCGAATCCGAGAGGGCCGCCAACCAAAGACATCTCTCGGTAATTCCTTCGATTGGTAGGAATCTGTACAGTTGACTAGCCTCTAGGAGCCTAAGAAGATTCTTGATGATTGTAGCATCTGTTCGGCATCTTTCAAAATTGACGAGTGGCTCTGTGGTTGGAGTGCTAGCAATTTGGCTGGGTCGTTCGGAATTGACCAAAAGATCATGCGTATAGATGCCAACGAAGGGAATGCAGCCTTGGTCCGCGCCAGCTACTTCCATCTCGGCTCGCAGGTTATAGAAGTTGCTGGTTGGGGTAACAAGATCTTCAAGTTGCCTCAACACTTGCATATCATTTTTCGGGACATGGTTCCATGTCTTTGTAAGGCGGGAGAGGTCTTTTGACGTGAGGGCGACAGTAAGTTGCGTCATGGTTGCGAAATTCCTGTACTTGCGGCACTGCGCAGCAATGTGAATAAACTTGATAATGGTCCTCACTCGCTCCTCCATATTGAGAGTCAATACAACTTCGGACACTGCCCACTTGACAACGAGATTGAAGCGAGCGATCACAACTTCCACCCCTCGTGGTTCCGAAGAGCGAAGGAAATCAACCCATGAGCGAGAGTCGGTAGTGGAATTCTTCCATCGCATTTCAATCAAATCTTTCCAATCGATTTCATTCAGTGCGTCCTTCTCAATAAGTGTAAACTGTTGAGCAAGGACCTGAGAGTCGAATGCTAACGTAAAGGGAAGATGGAGAGACGTTTTGCGGGATGGCTCAGGAATACGGTGCGGCTCTATTCCGTCTCTATCTATCAGATCACCAGAGATATGATGTTCATGAGGTGGTGGGAACGGGCCAGTGGGTGTGACCTCGGGGGTGAAAGGAAGGTTGTTCTGGCCTAAGTTCTGTCCGTTAGACCCCCTGTGGCTTTGCGGGTTGGTACCATCAGGAAATATTTGCAATGCTTGTGCTAATGTAAGTGGTGGGGATGGAGTCCCGCCTTGTGAATGTGACGGCAGCATTGGTTCCTTCGTAGCAGCTTCGGGATGTATGGTTTGGTTAGGATTAGCGTCGGGCTCGGTGAGCTCTGTTTTGGAAATCACTTCCATTGACATCTCAGATGACAAGTCACTTTTATCTTCGCTCTCGCTCTCTAGAAAAGATTGATCAAGACTTGCGTGCTGGGGCATGGTCTGGCCAGCTGGTATCCTGCGAAGACTATCAGTGTCGTCGACGAAGTCAAATGAATTGACATGAGATGAGTCAGGAGTATGCTCATTGTGAAGAGGCCTCTCGTTACTTGGACCACGGAGGATCGACTGGTCTGACCAGTTTCGCGTACTTCTCTGCATTCTATCTTCTGCCCCAGGAATAGTGGTTAAGTTGTATGATTCCACCGATTTTACTGAACGTGCTGAGTTCGACTGCATTCCATCTTCCCCCCCAAGAATAGTAGTTAAATTGAATGACTCTACCGATCTCAGCGAAGGTGCTGAGTTTGACTGCATTCCACGAGGTTGGTAAACAGTAGGCTTAAGCTCTTCGGTTGAAGAATTTAGCTGAGGACGATATGTAGGAATTATCGATTGACCAGATTCTACAGCGCGTATGTTCCCATCATGATGCTCTTCCGCTACTTCATCCTCATCTTCAAGGGTCAGTGTACTCACATCGATTGGGCGAGCACCAAAGCTATCACGCTCACCCTCTGCACTGAGTGACATGTCGGAACGGCGCAGCTCAAATTTGCCCTCGAGTTTCAGCAAAGCAGATTCAACACCACCATCATCATCTATATCATCGGGAATCTGTGCAAGCATTTGAGCCTCCTTCTCAAAAGACGGTCGCATAATAGGTTGGGATGAGTGAGTGCTGAAAAGTGAAACAGCTGGTTTAGGCGAGGATCCTTCAGCTAAAGCACCAAGCGAGAAGGTCTGCACATTAGGTTCAGATAGCTCAGAATTACCACTTTTGGCATCCACATATGCGCTAGGCACTCCCGGGCTCAAGAGGTATGAGCTTCGAATAGAGTCCTGATACGTCGACATGGTCCCCGTCGAAAGTACTCTTCGGATCGACTGGGGATTAAGCTCTTCAACGTTCGTGACTGCTCTCAAGTCCCCCCCTGGTCTCCTTCTGAGAACTCGAAGTGGTCGTGGCACTGAAGAGATATGATTCTCGTGATCGTCTGATCCCGAAAATGTAGTTGCATCAAAACTCCTCTCACTCCTATACCGTGTAAACCCGCTATGGTAGGAAGCATAACGCCGCAGAGACATGGAATTCGCGGTTTGGAATGAATGACGCGAGGCACGTATGGATGGGCGGGTAGATGGCTTCTTGCTTAAAGGACGACTGTCAGCTCTAGTGAATGATGTGCGGGACATGAAACCACTATCTCCAAAAGACAACGAGCGTTTTCGTGTGTGTTGGCCCAGCAAGTGCGATGAACGGCGTGGCGTTCCAAGTGGTGGATCTGGAGGGGTGGAAGGGGGGGTTGGGCCTGCAGATCGGTGCATATATGTTTTCGCAAAATCCTCGATGGGTGTGTTCATGAGATTTGTTCCATTCGTCGCATCGCCTTCCACAGGTACGGTGTCATCAACGATTACGATGGACTTGCTACCAGTAGTCATCTCACTATTGACCAGTGCCTTTCGAGTTTCCACCTTGGACGGTTCGAGAGTAGCATCTAGAGCCATACTTGGGTACTGAAGTCGCATGTTATGCGCACTGAATTGATCTGATTGGATACTCACTTCCGCTTCCTCCTGCACAGCCTTCTTGAAGTCCTCGGCAACTTCAGCACCCAACAAATCTATCCTCATTGGTGCTTTAGCGTCCATGGCTCGCGAGCGAGCTTGCGGAACAACTGCAGTACCTGGTAAACGATTTATGGTTGCCCCCCGAACACCTAGAGGCGGAATTTGGGGAAAGCTTCCTTGGGTGGGTGACGAAGACGGGACTGAGCTCAGGCCGGTACGAGTACTGAGAGCACGACGAACACTCCCTAGAAGCTTCTTCATTCCAGGTCCTGACATTGCTGAAGGCCCCTTCTGAGAGGCACCGGGGGGAAACAACGTCGTCCCGCGATTTGAGTGACCTGGGGTGTCCGGAGCAACGACTTCCACGGTTGCTTGTCCAGGTGGAAATAGATTTCCTCGGACCAGGCTCCCAGCATATGGGCAGGCAAGAAGTAACTCTGTGCTTTTGTAAATGACTTTCTGCACTGGTTCAAGTGGCCGTTGATCTCTGAATGAGTCTGAAAAACTTCCACTACGCTTGTGGGCGTGGGAAGGACGAACACGTTTTCCTATAACAACCTTGGGAATTGGGGCAATCGGAGGAGATGCATCATAGATAGAACTAGCTGGTACAGGATGAGCATTAAGCTGTTGCGAAGACCCGTGGCCACGGAGTCGGGTTGGAAAGGAGCACGACACGAAATCCTCGCTCATTATGCTCGCCGGTGACAAAGGAGGATTGCCAACTGGCTCATCTTCTCCATGGCTCTTGGGTGCGCTTTGCGGTCTCAGCGTGGAATCCAGGTGGCCAGCCCTTGACACCTCGGCGAAGAAGTTGGAGCCTTCCGCGTTTGACGATTCCATTTGGATGAAATCTGGCTCAATGATACCATCTAACCTTGGAGGGCCATCTGGGTGGGTGTCCCAAAAACTAGGATCTAAAGTAGGATCCCTAGACCCAGCTACTCCTCCCGGAGCAATAGGTACATCACAGCCAAGTTCTGTGTCAAACTCTGATCCATCCCAGTACAGGGCACCAACCCGTCTCCAACACTTCTTGATTTCACCGAGGATCTTCAATGGAACTTTTGTACGTTGGGGGCTGAATAAGGGGTCGTCGGTAAAGTTGTTGAGAAGCTCGCAAAAGGTCTTTCGCAGATCGTAATCAATCACATAGTCATCTACAAAATAGTTGAGCACCCAGTGACGAATCGCCACAAAAGCTCTGACCCTGACCACGGTTCCCGTCTCATCATCGCGTGCAAGAGCCCATTTCAAGCGAGCAATCAATATATGCAGTAAGTCTGTTGTATCAAGAAATGAGCGAAAAGTGAGGAAGAAATCAGAAAGAAGGTCGTAGTCAACAAAGGTTGGGGACGTAATCTCGGCTACAAGCCTTGCGGGCGTAGCGGCCCTGATACTTCCATCTCGCGAATAGCGTACAACAGATGGGTGGTCACAAGCTGGTTTGAAGGTCAACGAGTCAAAAATCTCAGGAGTAATTGGTAAACGTTGTCGAATGACGCTGCTGGAATGATGTGAGCCGATGGGGTGACTTGATAAAGGGCCTCCTGTGACTAGTGAACAAGGTTGACGAGGCGCATCTGAATGTCTTCTAGACAGAACCGGCGTGGGACGGGGTGTGTTGGATTCCGCATTAGCATCGTTAGATGAGATTACACTGGATCTCATATCATCCGTCGCTGCGTATGATGAACCTCGGAGGAAGGCGGTCCCTCTCATGCTGAACCGCGGTGTTCCCAATTTATACGAAGGTATGGGGACCTCTATCGTTGGCGTTCCGACCAGAGGCTCCTTGGCCTTTGGACCTGCACCTGGTCTCTCAATGACGATTTTGAAGGCACCGGCATCCGAGTCTCGAACGTGAGCGTGCCGCTCGTCAATCGTTGAGTAGGAAAAGGTGCGCTTATGACGCGGGAATTGACTGGGCGGGCGTCCAAGGGGGAATGAAGAATCTCGCACTGCAGCATCTGAAGTAGCTAGCGACGGAGTCCACAGACTGTCGCGGGGCGTCTCGTCACTCTCTTGCTGGCTCAACAAAACATCCAATCCAGCGGTGCTCGGTGGGGTCATGGGAAACACGAACGAGGGTTGGGGATATCGCTGGTTTGCTGGTCGGATGGTGGGACTGTTCGTTCCAGTGAGTACATCTGCACTTTCTCCAAACCAATCCTCGCGACGTCCCACCGTAGGCTGCTCAACATACCGAAGATATATCCTGCCATTGTTCCCCACATTGGCCACGGTAAACTGGCGTCCTTCTCGCCCAGCGGATCCCCCGTTGGGAACAATATCATGGTGAAGTTTTCCGTCCTCTGCCTCCCGTTTCGCGCGACGATTCACACTATTCTCCTTGCGCAACCCTTCCTGCAATTGCTTCTTCTTGGCCAGATCCGACGATTTCTTGCCAATGGTCTTCGCACGCGGTGCCGGCCAGAGCGTGATGCCGTTACCACCGTCACTACCAGTAGCCTTCGTTCCCTCCATGTCACGAACGGTGGTAGCAATCCACGCAGGTTTTCCAAATCTCCCGCGTGGTGAAAGTCGATCGCGTTGTCGCTGTCGCAACCCATCTGGCGTGTGCGAGGCCGCTGGTTGGGCCGACAGTTTGTTCTCCATGCTGCTCCTAGCACTAGCACCTCGAGCCTTCCTACTCTACAGGACCGCTGGCTCTGGCTGCGATTTGGCCTTCAACTTCCAGGTCGATTGCAAAGATACATTGGTGATGTAGAAAGGATGGGTGGACGCGAGAGCGAGGATGAGATTGAGAATGAGAGCGGATACTAGCCGTATGACTTCGACTGGCAAAGATATTCGAGACCGGATTCTGAGGATGGGAGAAGTGAACGTGGACGTGGACGTGGGCGTGGGTGGATGGGATGGGATGTGATGAGATGGGATGGGATGGGGTCCTGCAGCCGGCGAGGGAGACCTGGGAAGAGCTGGCAGCGGGAGCGCTCCGGGTCACAGTTTTGCCTAGGATTCACTGGCCCGTCATTGAGGGACGGGGGGGGGTTATGCGGCCGGGGTGATGGGAGAGCAGCCAAGTCGTGGCTTCCAGGGTATCTCTTAGTGCAATCACCTGTGGCAGCAGCCTACAGGGAATTTTACGGGCTTTGGAGGGGTTTTCGGGTGGTGTGGGAGTGCCGTGGCCAAGGCCCAGCACCAGCCCAGGTGTTGCTTCGCAGCGCTGCCTTCAGGGGGGATCTCAACTGCTCAGTGCACCTGCAACTGCAACCTGCCAGTCACCATTTCCAGGCCATTCTCTCTACACCTTCCCTCTTTGGGACCGACGCCGGGGAGGTGTGAGGGATTCCTGAGGGTGCAGCTGCATTGGAGTGCAGTGGAGTGCAGTGCAGGTGCTTCAAGGTTCATGATTGCGAAGGCTATGGAGTACTCGAGTACGGCAATGAAAATGAAAATCGGCAGCGAGATTCGCCCTACGAAGCCTCAGTGTGCAGACTCACGATGACCACTGAATTGGTGACGTTGGGGTGCCCTTGGCCAGTGTCAACAGCTCCAGCCCCAGATCTGTCACATCAGTTGTCATGGACAACCGCAACCAACTAGTTCTAGTTCGTCTTCGTGTCCGGGATGCCAGTGCCAGTGCCAGTGCCAGTGCCAATTTTCGATCGTGCGACGCTTCTCATATTAAGTTCGAAGGGTCGGGTGGGGGGTAGGGTAGCTTAGGTTACCGTTACCAGTCTTCTCCACCATGGCATAGCTTAGGTTACCGTTACCAGTCTTCTCCACCATGGCAGCATGGCTTGAATCGCGAACGACGCTACAGAGAATTGCCGTGAGAAGGGAATTGTAGAAGTATGATACTTCGTACTAGTCGTACCTACTACCGAATACTCGGAGCTGCAAGTTCGGAGTGACTGCCTTCAGCTATCGTCAGGCCTCAAGGGCCAAAAAAATTCTTCATGATTTATGCCTCGATTTCTTTTTCTTGATCTTCTTCTTTATATCTTTCAATGGACTCAACATCAATAATAGCAACATCATCAATGCCCCTCGTCTAAAAAAAGGATAATCCGGGGTAGCTATAAATCTAAATTTTGTGGACGGACCCAAGCACATACAAAATACCAGAAAGTTCACATGATAGTGAAACATTCAAACACTTTCTCGATGGAGACCTCATACTTTCTTCCTTTTCTAACTTTCTGCCTCAAAATCGATCGTTGAATCGTGGTCGGTTGAAGCCCACAGCATCATTTGACATGGACGTAGTTCAGGATATTCGCCTCCCATGATTCGATCGAGGATCCTACAGCCTACGCATGCAAACTGCAATATATTCATCCGAATTCATCAGAAACTATGAGGGATGAGGAGAATAGAAGAGGGTGTGCGAGTCTGGATAAATTTGGCTGATGCAAATTCATCCTTTTTGGTCGTGGGGAATTGCCCAATCGAGTAATGAACGAACGCCCTTCTGCTGCATGCTACTGCACCTCGCCGTCACAACCAATTCTTCAGTTGCAAGAATCATCAGATGTGGTGCCTCGCATCTGCATCCATTGTTAATTGTCAGTGGCCGTCCCCTTCTCAGACACAAATCCTTTGGCTTTGTGCCTCCTCGCTTAACGTCCGTCTTGCGCTGTTTGCGAGTATTTTATTCCATGACATGGCCCTTTGCTATACTTCGTAGTATGCGCCTCGGTGACATCTACTTCATACAATACCTCTCGATGAGGTCAATGATCTCAGAAGATCAATTTGCACTCACTAAACGGAGGGGCAATGGCAATTTCCCCCACCATGTTCATCGGTACCGACAAGAGCAGAGGGTTATGCCTAAAGTATCAGAGCGCAGCCGGAAGGCCATCCGCGGACCGCTTGCCTTAGCCAACCTCCCCACTCAGTTCGTACCCTCCAGTATCTAGGAAGACTACGGAGACGCGAAAACTTTCGAATTAATAATACCCAACCATGTGACGGGTTTCCAGAAGAAGCCACAGAACGGGTTGATCTGAGCCCGGCGCAGTGGAAGCGATAGGATAGCGCTAGCGTCTTCCTGTTCGCTCAAAGTGAGAAAATGAGAACCAGCCCAGCCCGCTGGAGCGGAGCGGGTAGATGAAATGATGACAAGATGCAAGATGGTTTGCCGTACTGTAGGACGCCGCGTTCACGGGGGGGCCCTTCCGGCTCTCTAGGGTCTTGGGGCATAAGAGCAGACGAGTACAAACACACACACCCAAATGAGATGTCCCTACGAACGATACAGTTTATTCTTTCCATATCGGTACTCTATCAAAAGCATCATGGAAGCAGACGAGAATAATAATCCTCCGTACTCCAAAAGTCTCTTCTTATCTCATGGTCTCGAAAGCTAACTTGGATCAAGAGTTCGCACGCTCCTCAGAGCCATGGATGATGACGAGTTCACTAGTGAGGGGAGAGCCGGGGGCGGCGGGGGGGAGATGAAGGATCAGTCAGACGTTGGGTTGGATAGGTAGCCGAGGTCCTTAGGTTCTCCTGCTTTGCTTTGCTGACTATCGCGGCGCATGAACTGTAATGATAGCGTCGCTCCAAGAATAGAGTAGGTACGAGTACTCGCACCCCCTTCTCTTTATAAATTACAAAGCATCAGTAACAATTGACGATTGTGCTCGAGGCGAGACGAGCTGCAAGATGGAAACCCCTCCGGGTTCTAGTCCTTCTGAGAATCTGAGCAGTATGTACTGTAAGATTACGAATCGAGCCCTCCAAGCAAACCGGCCTCTAATAGTAAAGACCTTCCTCCCACGAGATCACCATGCATCTTGCATCGTGGGACGTCATTATTATTCTTTGCTTTGCTTACTCACACTACTAGACGGACGCAATTTGCTTTACAGTACCTGGTTTTGCTTTGCTTTACTTTTCATGTCTCTCTTTTGCGATGAACCCAACATCTCGGGACGGGGACGGATAAACAAACCTGTCATTTTCTTGTCATCTCATCCCATCCCATCCCATCACATCCCCAGCTACCTAAATTTGGGGACCGAAGGCTAGCCGAGTTATCGGTATTGAGAACACGGCAATAATGGCAGAGCATGCGTGTAAGGTTCCGAAACCAGAAGCCTTTTTTTTTTCATTTACCTGTTACTCGTTACTCCGTCTACGGTAGCATCCCCTCAGCTTCTCGGCCTTCTAGACCTACATACGGCACACAACGAAAGATACCTACCACCCGTCAAACACGGGGGTTCATCTGGTCGCCGACTCTGTACGTACAGCCGGGCTCTTTTCGCGAACACTGCCGTCTTGGGCCGTACAGTGCCATTGCCATTGCCATTGCCATTGCCATTCCGGCCCGTCGTCGTCCTGGGGGGGTTTTTTCCGTCCGTTGGATGTAACGTGGACGTGGTGGTGTGGAAAGCAGGCCATTTGCGCGTTGCTCGCCATTCGACATCGTGCCACTGTGTTTTGATGGGATGATTTTGAAATAGAAGATTTTCGATAATGGTCTATCTATATTGCTTGTGGTGGGGGGGGAGGAGAAAATGCCGTCCGTTCTTGGATAGGTTTTTTTTGTTTTGGGACTTACGCACTACCGGCATAGCGTAAATACATTTAGGTTAAAGAGGAGATGGGACTACGATACGATACGGTAGGCACATTATTTCGGGAGAGATATTTGGGCTTCGCGTGCTTCTTATCTTGTAATGGTTATGCCGGCTGGAGTTCCTGGGCATTATTGTAAGTTAGAAGGTTTTCCCTGACCGACGGGTTTGTGATGGATGATGTTTGTTTTCTCGGCTGTTGTGGCATGACATGAGCGGATGAAAGAGAGGCCTTTTGCAAAAGTGTTCGAATGGCTATCATTGATTTGATAGAAGGATATCTACGAAGTATCTATTCCGTAAAAATATTATATGACATGTTATCGTCGTGGTCGAGTTACTTTGCCGTTTCCGCGTTAGACATATCAGGTTAGGTTTTTCAAAAGCTCAGATGAATCATGAAAGATGAAGTATTTAGCTCAAGCCACCGCTTCCACCTCCACTACTAACCCTCGAAACAGAACATGTGTACACGGACACGGACACACACTCGTTCATCCGTTGTGCTAGTAGTCAGAAATCCCATAGACACGGTCCCCTCCGTCATTGGCTCACTTCTTTCCAACCACAAGCCTCAACCCTGTACCTCTCGTCTAGGAACCCCTTTCCATCCCATCCCATCCCATCCTATCTCCAGCCTCCTAGAAGTACCACCCAAAGCGTGTCCAAACAATTCTCCATATATCACTCTAAGGTAGGCATCCCCAGTTCAACCCAATCAATTTGAGGACTTGAGGGGACTTGTACGGAGTACCGGCTTGGTTTTTTGCCTTTATTTTTGTTTTTGTTTTCGTGTAATTTACGGAGGTATGACATTTAATCTGCTTAGACCTTGAATTAGTGATGTGATGTGTGCTGTATCTACCTAGGTAGCTTATTTTGACCTCGTTGCATGGATGGCTACAGTAGGTTGCGGTTGGGATGTTGTGTTTTGGGGGGAGTTGGGTGGATTTAGTTGATGGGTATCCGGAGATGGGGGGTTTGTTTTGTTTTGTTTTGTTTACGATGTTTGTTTGGGGGGTGGGGATTTAGATGATGATGATATCTCAGGGTTTTGAGCTGGCTGGGTGTTGATTTGGATGATTAGACCTCTTTCATCTGCAAGTACGTCTGATCGTTTGTGTGTGATTGTTATTGTTGTGGATAATCAGGGCTATTTTACAAGGGAGTTGGGTTAGGAAGTGACTTTTTTACGGACTTACGGTTTGAGTTACTTGGTCTTAACTTCTATGATAGGATGTTGAGGTGAGTGGTCCATGTATCTTACGCTACCTCAAGCCCTTACATAGATTCACTTAATAGAGCGCTACTAGCCATTGGTTTTCCCAGGTCAAATACTGTTATAGAACTTCCATTAGAGAATCACCAGAAGTATCTTCCTTAGAACAAAACCTTTTAGCACAGCTCTAAATGGTATATACAATAAACCAATTCGAGAAATAATGAAGTAATTTGGACCTTTGGCTAAGCGGGTTAAGATGAAGTAGAAATTATGGATCTATAATTATACAGAAGTAATATGCTTATACTTATACGTCAAGTATACCAGCTCTTTTATGAGATATCTAAAGCTTTCTATTCTATTTAAACTGGATCTTTGGACCTGTGTTTTGCGGGCTATTTTGTTGGATGATTAAATTACTGTGTTAGGATTACTACTACAGTAGTAAGAGAGACGAGCATTACTCTGTGTATACACGCTATCAAAAGTCGTTATATCAAAACTCTAGCATAAGTAACTTAATTATCTTATTTCAATTAGGTTAATAAGAATTAAAAAATGATAATTGTTCTAAACTATTCATTCGTATAATTAATTCAGTTTATAAGATCCTTAAAAGGGAGGATAATATTTTATAACTCAGGTGTGTAACTTACAGAGTAAAGCCCGCCTCTCTTACTGTGCTAAATGCTGTCCAGACCTGGGCGGTAGATACGATATATCGAGTATTAGCAGCACTATTTCGATATCATTCTGGATAATGACAGTATATCGGATTTGGTATTAAGGCTTGAGCTATCGCTTACTAGTGACTTTCGTATCGGATTGCCTATTGCTTTTGATGGTATACTTGATTATGTTTGTTACTAACCTACTGGATAGTTGAAAAAGATTAGATACGATGATTGTTAGAGACTGCCTGGGTAGGATGTCGACGATATCGCCACGCAGATCTGAGGTGGACGGAGGCTTGCTTCTTATTTTTGAATGAGTGTTTAATGCTCCTTCATCTCTGAAAGGAACTATTCTCTGCTCACTGGATCTAGGTCTGATCGTGGTAAGTGTGACGTTATAAGAGTAATCGAGGTCACATTAACATCTTCTTTCCTTTCGATACTCGGTGGAGGGAGGCTCACTTCTTATTTTTGAGTGAGTGTTCAATGCTCTTTCATCTGTAAATAGAAATATCCTCTGATCACTAGATTTGGGTCAGGTCGTGATAAGTGCAACGCTACAGTATAGGATCAATTGAGTTTACATTAACATCTTCTTTCCTTCGGATAATTCACTGGTTATTGCGAATTCGAATTATAGAATACGAGATTTTATATTGAACGTGATAAGTATTACCCCAGTTAATTTGTTCGTTCTACTTACATATTTTGTTCTTTTAATTAGCTATGCTATTGCATCTAATTACAATTAAAGATTGTCGGGTTTAATTTAGACTATAACAGCTTGTTCGTTTTTTGGGGGTGGGGAGAGGGGATTGATTGAACAAGATTATCTCAAACATTTCATTCCTTTTACATCACAATCAGATCATAACTAATTGCATACTTGCATTTGATATTGACGGTGAAGACGTGCAACTGTCGGCATCTGGAATTCCTTTCCACTCCCCCCCCTCTATCTAATCCTCCAATTCCGGACTATGGAATTTCGAATTCCATCTCGGAATCTGTTACATGACCTGAAATAGCTGTTCCGGTCCGTTCGACACATTCGAAGGGGACTCAGGATAGTAATATATACTCAGCGTAAGAAATAATTAGAATATATTAACTAATAAGGTCTTATTCTAAGTTAATCTAATCAAAAGGATCTCCTAATTATCGTTAATCGCTTAATTAGCTATATTGTCTGATTAAATCGATCGAGACGGGCCGAACCCTCGGACGGGCAGACTAAGGTTTCGGAGGTTGCTCGGTAGGTTACTCACTAGCTAAGCGAGAGCCTATATACTATAAAGTACTTTATTTATATTTCTTATCAATAGGAACGTTCCTTGTTCTTAGTTATTAACTTATCTATTATATCTTTACTCTTCTTTCTCTCTTTATTATCCCTTCAAGGGGGTTTTTAAGCATATTACTCGTAGTAGTACTTTAAAATATATACTATTATTTGAATTAATTAGATTAACTAAACGTCTCTTAATCTATTTTAATCATCTAAAGTCGCTAATCTAAATCAAATCAATTTAATTATAATTTAGTGAATTACTAATAGATTAATAGAGCAATTTGTTCTCACGCTATATATACTAGGTTTAATGTTTAGTGCGTCCTTCCCCTATATAAGCGATAGTAAGAGAGTTGGGCGAAACTCTGTATACACCCCAAGAACCTATTATACGAGATTTCCTAAAACAATTAACTCAATTAGCCCAAATCACTTAGAGAACCACGTTAATTATACGAGACTTTTAGAATAACGTCTTTTTCTAACCTAGGTGTGTAAAGAGTTTCGCCCAATTGTCTTACTATTATCACAGTAGTAGGTTTTAGTAGGATTTATACAAAAATGGACCACGTTGCACGTATGATCGTATCACGCTAATTAGTAGCATATAAGTCAAGAGTATAGTAATGGACTAGCATATTTAATATTCGCTTAATTGCCACTTTTTTTCATTTGTATCAAGCGTTCTTATTGGGTAAAAAGCTATACATATATATTCTATTTGGAAATCTTGATTCTGGTGCCTTATCCTTTTGAATATTACACCTTGGAATGGAATTTTGGAATCCTTGGAGTCGTGTTCCAAGTGGCGGACGTTGGGTACGTGTTAACCAATGGAAGAAGTCGGAGAAAGAGAGATTCTCATGTCTCTATGAACCTCCCATGTTGCACAGAAGAGAAGCTTTTGTACATCAAATGGTTCCCAGTCACAGGTATGAGAGGGTTTAGGCTGCAATGAATTTTCGCTTCAGTGGCATGTTATTTTTCTGGGAATTGATTAGGATATATCTTGTAAAACAGTCACACACCATGTAGCTCCACTCTTGGCCACATATTTGCACGTGAATTCGGTATTTGTTATTGCGGTTCATCCAGTTGGGCACGCACGATGACTTTGAATACACCAGACACATCAATTGGAATGCCCGTGACTTAATCTGTAGTGACACCGCTGGTATCGGGATTTAAAGTACAGTGTATAAGTTAATTGAGTTTCCAGCACATTGCTTGACGATCTTCTGATTGGCCGCTATGTACCCCACGGTTCCCCTCCCCCGCCAAATGACGTCCCTACGAGTCAATGCCCATCCCATACTTTTACATTTAAAACACAAGTATAGTAATCAGCAACTACCAGTACAAACTTTCAATCTAAGTATCGTATCATATCAGAACACCCAACCACACCCATCACAGAAAAACAGGAAGTGAACTGCCGACAGAATAGCTCCCAGCGAAAAAAAGAGCGGCTTTCTTCCCGCCCCTTGGACGAAAAATGCAACCCACCACTCCCACCTTTCCCGAGTCCCACTGCTCATCTATGACTTTGGGTAAATACATAAGCGTGTTACCTGCACGCGATAAGCACTCTTTTATCCGATTTTAAAGTATTAGTATTCATTTATCTCTCTCTCTCTCTTCTTGTTCTCTATATTTGTTGAAGCAGTACTTCAGCGTGGATTGAAGAAACTACCAAAAGGCATTGAAAAGACTGGTTAGGCAACATGGCGAAGTTTGAAGGAGAAATCGCCTTTCTGGGGTTAGGAGCTATGGGCTTTGGTAGTAAGTATTTTTCATTTTATCCAGATTCTCCCTCAATTCCCAAACCTCCCATCGTCCGAAACATGTTAAAAAACAGGTGACAAATGTACTAATCCGTGGATATCCCAGTGGCAACAAACCTCGTCACCAACTCGCTTCCGGTGACCGGTTTTGATGTCTGGGCTCCAACCCTCGAACGCTTTACCCAAGCTGGTGGTTCCTCTAGCCCCACTCCCCGTGAGGCTGTCAAAAATGCAACATATGTAGTATTCATGGTTGCAACCGCATCACAGATTTTATCCGCTCTTTTCGATGAAGAAACCGGTGCAATTGAGACCCTAAAACAGGGAGCTGTATTAATACTTTCCTCCACGGGACCACCGGATCACTCCCCAAATGTACGAAAACTGCTGGATGAAAGAGGCAGATCAGATGTCTTCGTGGTCGATGCACCGGTTTCCGGCGGCACGATAAGAGCTGCTAATGGGACTTTGACGATTCTCGCCAGTGGAACGGAGGAGGCCTTGTCAAAAGGGAGACCTGTGTTGGATGCTATGGCGGGACCAAATCTATATATTATTCCTGGAGGACTTGGGGCTGGAACGAAGGTTAAGATGGTTCATCAGGTGCTGGCGGGGATACATATCGTGATGGCCAGTGAGGCTATGGCTTTTGCTGCGAAATTGGGGTTGGATACCGGAAAGGCTTATCAGGCATTGAAGGAGGGAGAGGGTAGTAGTTGGATGCTTGAGAATAGGGGGAGTCGCATGGTGGTTCAGGACGAGAAGATTCACTCTGCATTAGGGATAATTACCAAGGATGTTGTGAGTTCTCATATTACCTGAGAAATGGAGAGAGGTTGATTGCTGACCATGAGAAATAGGGAATCATCACAGCAGCATCGAGAAAATCCACAACCAATCCAGGATTTCCCCTCTTCCTCTCATCCACCACAGAACAGGTTCTCGCCACAGGCATCTCATCCGGCTTCGACCGAGATGACGATGCCAAACTCACGAAAGTCTACCTCCCAGCAACCCCAACTTTAGTTCTTGACCTCGCCTCTCCAGCTACCTCATCTCCTCCCACTTTCTCCCCAGAAGAAGCCGCCAAGCTGAAATTGGTGGAAAGCGCGATGAAAGCCGTGCATCTTGTGTCGGCAATGGAAGCGATGAGCTTGGGTAAGCGAGTGGGTCTGGACACCAAGCAGCTTTTTGAGATTATCAAAGGTGCGGCTGGTGGAAGTTGGATGTTCAAGGAAAGAATTCCGGCTTTGTTGAGTGGGGAATGGAGTACAGGTGGAAGGACAGTGGGGGAGATTGTTGATGATGTGGTACGTGGTGTTCCTTTGGTCCCCTTCAGCATGATTTTCTCGCGACCGATAGACGAGTTTAAGAGTCATGACGCTCAAGCTAATCACTCGTGATTGAATAGATTGATGCATTGACCCAAGCCAACGCACTGAAATTCCCCCTTCATCTCACATCTACAGCGTTGCAGGTTTTGCAACTGGCTGTACTGAAGGGGTTGGGCGATGAAACAGATTTGGCTGTCTCGAAGATTTGGGATGCTCCTGGAGAGGAGGGGGTATTGTTCCCTAGGAAGGCTTAATTAGTGCTAGAATCCAGAAATCGCTGTCTGAGGGCAGACTTAGATATGATCGAAATGAATACTCCATGAAATGTAATCGCCCCTACAATGAAAACATCAAGTGATTTCTTCTTCGAGACAGAAAGGAACGATATCCAGTAGAATACGAGTAGCCTGGCGGAAATTGGAAAGTGGCAGGCAACCATCCTCAACAATCTTGTTGTTCCTTCCTTCCAGGCTGGATCCATAGATTAACTCGTGTGTTCTTGGACAAATGATTTGACGACTCGAGAAGTTCTCAATAATGACGTTCGTTCTTCGAAGAATAGCAACCGAGCTATCCACTGCTACAGTACATCTCCCGCTCATGAACGGTCGAGCAACTCTGCCAGCTTAGCATCATTCCGCAGATAGCGACGAACTCGGCCCGATGACGTCCGAGATTCGATGTTTTGTTGTTTTATTGGGCGCAACCCTACTGTAGCAACAGAGCCTCAAATCGCGCTAATGATGGTAAACAAACAAGAAATTTCGCATGTAAACAACCAGGGGTATCAAAACAAAGCAGTGAATTGAAAACTTTTCACGAGGAGATATTGGACTCCGTACCCATCGCTACATGTGCTACAATCACAGGTTCCCAGGAGAAAGAGTCGAGAGGAGGATGAAATAGGCTTTATCGGAGTTATGATAGTGGTTTCAGATGAGTGATAAGATGGTAGCATTGCTGGGCTGGTATGATTTACACCGACAGGGTTGGTCTCAGTGTCAGGTCCCTGGAGTATGGAGCATGGGCCCCGGATTATGGTGGATATGGTGGATGTGGTGGATGTGGTGGAGATGGGGTTGTGGGACGACTGACCTAGGCTGGGTTAGGTTAATTACGCCTGCGTACCGAGAAACTCGTACAAACGGAAGCTTTGGCTGTCGTTCATGCTGGTGCAGTAGGCAGTGCATTGCGATGCGTTGCTTTTGCACTTTTTTTATAGAACACATGCACCCAGATTCAATTCTCTGCCTTGAATCTCTCACTCAGGCGCCTGGTGTAGTTGAAATCGTGCAGGTGTGCTGTGCAAATCCGTGTGATTTGCGATGCATGATGCTATGATGCCATAAGAGCAACCTACTCCAGACATCGACCGATTGTTGCAACTAATCCTATCTAAGTTTCGTTGATGATACGGAGTACATATGGCCCAGTTTTCCTTTCCATTGCAACCCTAAACTACTGTAATGAACTGCAAACGTACATCTCTACCTATACCTGTTCTCCCCATAGCATAGCCCTGCCCTGGAGGGGGACATTTCCCTCCATCACTCCGGCTTCTTCGCTAGCGTGCTGCCCAGCGGTTGCCATGGATGTCAACATCCGGGAGCTTCGTCGTCACGTGTGACCCGCTTTTCGCGGCTCCGACGGTCACCGCATGCGCCAATACGGCTTAGCGTGATCAGCGGCAGAAACCCAAAATATTTGGATAACCTTCGAGGTCGACCTTCCTCCTCTCTCTTTCCTCCCCATGTTGACATCGTCCATCTTCCCACAACCCCCACTTCGTTTCGTTCGTACACACTTCTCTCACGCTCATCGCATTGCGATAACAACAATTGTCAACGGCTTCTGCCACCCCAAAAAATCTACACTTCTCGCTGTCGCATCGCGACCTCTACACCTTACACCATGGCGCGTACCACGCGATCCAACCCATCCCCCAGTGGATTCCGAGTTCTCCAAACCGAACGCGCTACTCGTAGCAAAAAAGAAACCAAGACAGTCGTATCTGCCGCACAATCAACAGATGCTCCTGTCAACCCAACCATCGCGCCTGCCGCATCTCAAGATGAGGCCGAGTCTGATGCCGCTCCTGCCAACCCCCGACCCTCTTCCCCTCTTAGGAGAATGACCAGAGCAATGTCTCGTGAGGTCTCTCGATCCAATTCTCGATCCGTGTCACCTCCTGTCGTCTCTACTGTTGTCGGTGGTGCAAAGAAGCTCCTCAGCAAGGTCGGCAACAAATTCACCAAGTCCACCAAGAGTGGCAGCAAAACTACGAAGCAGCCAGCTGCAAATACCCAAAATACAACCAACACACAATCAATTGGCACACTCACTCGCGACAAGCGTTCACATAGCAAAGTGTCAGTTGCGTCATATACTTCCGACGACGATGCGTACCGAATGCAACAAGACGCCACAGAAACGTGCTGGATAGGCATACGGATGTCGCCTCCTTCCAAGAAGAGAAAGAATGTTGCGGAAGAGCAAGAAAACAAATCTGCCCCGCTAGAGACCGTATTTAATACGCGTATTCCCAAAGTCACACGCAATACCTTCGGTGACAACCCATCTCACGCCCCTATCTCCGTCGCAGCCACTGCTGCACCTAATACCGACATCCCACACGAAATTGAAACCTCCTCCTTTGCCGACATTGGTGTAGCTGATCAGTCCACACCTCGTCATATTGAACAAGTCACTTCGATCCCTACGGTTGAAGCTGAAGCTTCATCACCATCTGTCTTTAGACAAAATGGCAAGCAAGCCCCAACCACCACACGCAAACTCCAAAAACAAAAAGCACAACGTGCATCAAACACACGTAACACCCGTACCGCTCTCAATACTACAACTCCGGCTACACCTCGCTTTATCTCTTATCCCTCTGACGAAGAGTCAATCGACATCGATGACATCTCAGAACCCATGAACGATGCACAAGGAAGACTTGACCGTCAAGCTTTCAAGACGATGATCGCAGACCACATGAAGCGTTCACTCACCCCGGCTCCATTGCCAAATGAGCGAAGCAAATTAGCCCTGCTCGTAAGTGACCCTGACTTTCTTGTTCGAGACCGTCAACTAATTTGCCTAGAAAAATCGTATGCAACATGATCCTGCTCTGTTGCTTCTTTCCCAAACCCTCGATGGAATTAACGGGGACGAATTTCTAGAATCGTGCATAACCCTTGCGAGATGGACGAGAGAAAACTCCGATGTTCAGCTACCAGGGCCTGAGAAGTTTCGGGCAATGCTCCAGGCCTACAAGGCTGAGTTGTCTGATCCCGAGGCCGAGGCTGAGACTGAGGCTGAGACTCCCAGCTCCTACCCAAACCATACACCAAAAGATGTCACCCAAGACACTTCACCACACCATCGCGACGAGCCTGCTCCTAGCATGGTATACACCTCACCTCGAGATATGGTGGTCGCAACTCCATCGCGCCACTCATACCCTGCTGAAGTATTGACATCCACTCCAGACACAGTCATGGAATATCAAACAAGTGAAGTAGCCAGCGAGTCTTTTCTCCCAGCTGCACCCGCTGAGGCCACCCCCCAAAACGTTGCTGTTAATACATCCCGATTTCCGATGGCAGCCGCTTTTACCGCTTTTTCCGCTGTCAAGTCTGTCATCGCTTCCCCCGTCAAGTGGTTCGGTGGTAGAAGCCAGAATGCGGTAGCAGCTACTGACACACAATTCACATTTGCTTCCCGACACCCCTTACCTACCCGAGATACAGATGACACTCCGACAAGAGCTCCGGCTGCGCGCCAACTAAAGAAGCAACATGCTCAGCGATCCCCATCAAAATCCGCAGCACGAAGAGTTCTTTCCGAGCAAAATTCAAGAAGCAAGGAACAAGCCGCACGTCGATCAGAGGCACGATCAACTCACCAGGCAAACGTTGAGAGAGCGGAGGAGGCGTCAAACTCCAACAGCACCCTCGCCCAAGACGGTTTGACTGTCGGTGAAAAGCGCAAGAGAGCCGCAGATACACCCAAGTACCATATGCCGGGAACTTTCACCACGCCACTCTCTGAAGCAGAATTATCATTGTCGTTGTTTCCTGCTGATGAGGTGTTCCCCTGCTATCACCACGTTGGCAAGACCCACCACGTTCCCAAGGAGTGGCTTCAGTTGAACAACCCCTCCGACCCTCTCCCTAACCCTCTTCCGGTAAACACTTACATTCCAACCGAAGAGGAGGAGGCCGCCATGAGCAACTTGTTCAGACTTTGGGACCTCTGCAAGTTGAATGTTACCAAATCCCCGCACAGTGAGTGTGCTGTCGCATTGCGACATCACTGGTGGGCCCAAATTTCGATTCTGCAGCACGGAATGACACCGCGTGAACGATTCTGGGATGACAAGTTCCGACGAGGCGCTCCTTCTCAACAGTATCTCATGCTTCACGATGTCTACCGTCGCCACCCTCCTCCAGTAACCTACCTTGACAACGACAAATTCGGTTACTTCTGTAACGCGGAAGGTTACTACGAGAAGATGCGGAAGTACGAATTCTGGCCAGAACTGATCAAGAAGGTGCAAGTCCTGTCGGTTCCCGACAACGAATCCAGTGATTATGAGGACGATGAATCACTGGAGGGGCCTCCTGTCGTCGCAGTGGTGGAGCCTGCGCAGGAGGTTGTCGGGAACCAGCGACAACCACCACCAACACCCAAGCAGACCAGAGGGGTTCGCTTGCCTTACCAGGCAAAGACCCCATCAAATCTGCGACAGGTGGAGGCGGTGTCGTTGTCGCCACAATCCGAGGACGATGTGATTGGTTCGGAGAATGCTGAACAATACCAATCACTAGTCTTCGGATTCCAGGAGGCTACAGAGGTGGCTGTAGCCGGAGCACCCAAGGATCCAATGGAGGAGTGGATCGAGGGTGCTGATGAGTGTTTGGGGAGGGAGGGGATGACGGCATTTCCAGATGCCATATATTAGGTGTCTGGGGGTGGGGGGGAGAGGGAGGGGGGATTGCCCTGTTTTGCCCTTTTGGGTTTCGCGGGGTGGTTGTTTTATTGGATTTGGTGAAAAGGCACATTTTTGTGCGTCGGATGTCTGGATATGTTCCTTCGGGAACTATCAATCTTGTAAATAGTATTGTACAAAGAAATGTAGAGTATCTAATTTCTTTTTTATAAACCTTGAAATGTACACTGTATCCTCGAGTATGTGATTGAAACACCATGAACACGTCATGATCTTTGGAGATTTGGTACATGGATCTTGTTACGAGTACTGAACTGGGCATGAGATATCCCTGAGGTCTTGAAATCAACCTGTTTTGTAGGTGGTGGGCTATGTACAAGGTGGTTTTGGGGGGCTTGATCGTTGGGAGATGGAGATGGTGGATTGAGGGTATTTGTGGGTTTTCGTGGTGTTGTAGAGTACATTGGTTTTCAACCTCCTTGAAGAAGGGGTTTTGATGAAAGAAATGAGTTCTGTCTTTGTGGAAAGCGGGGGGAAGGCGGGGGAATCGAATGGATTGCCCTGCCAGTTGCTGATGTCTTCATTGATGAGGTGGGATTTCGTTGTGTGGATGGGGGCGTGTAATGTTGTTCTTGTGTAGTGGTCTTGAGATGTGGAGGTGTGGATGGACTTTGGGGTTTTGAGGGGTGTTGCGTGAGAGAGGTTGGATGATGGGGCTGTGTGGATGGGGGTGGGTATTGTCTTTCTTGTGTAGTGGTCTTGAGATACAGAGTTGGGGATGTAGTTTGGTTTCTGAGGGGGCTTTGCGTGAGAGGGTTGAAGGGAAAGGGATTTGTTGACGGGGTGGAGGAAGGGGGTTGATGTGGAGATCTTACGCGGAGAGTGTGGATGTGTTTCAATAGGCGTTTGGAGGGAATTGCGGAAGGGAGTTGTAGAGATGAGGTTGCGTTCAAGGGAGGGAATAAGAGAGTGATTGTGGAGATCTTACGCGGAGAGGGGGAGTGTGTTTGAATAGGCTTTGAGAGGGATTTGCGGAAGAGGGTTGGAGAGATGTGGTTTCGTGAGAGGCGGAGGGAGAGAGAGTAGATGTGGAGATCTTACGCGAATCGAGGGATTTTGAAAGGTTCTGTTGTGTCTTACACACAATTGCTTGAGGTAGAATGTTTTAGAGAACGTGGGAAAAAGAGTAGATGTAGAGGTGGTCTTACGCAGTTAGAGAGAACTGGAAGTGTTGAGTAAGAATTGCTATCTTTTCTATAGACTAGATGATTCTAGATAGTTCGAAGAGAGTGGTAGAAGTACAAAGGTTACGCAAATAGGGAGAATAAGAAGCCTCTTCTTTGACTTTATCACCTTTTTATCTAGACTAGATTGTCTCAGATGTTTTCAAAAAAGAAGATATAGAGGGAACATATATGAAAAGAAAGCTTTTGTAAGCTTCTACTTAAGATTCATCATCTAGTTTCATGGTTCAGTTTCTTACTGTATGTGGGAATGATAATATAAGACGTCGTAGATTGATTCCCTTGGCATTTCAATTCGATATTCTCCAAGTTGGTTGCTCTATGAGTGCATTGAGATATCCAGATACAAAGTCTGTATTAATATTAGTCAGACAATTCTTCGTGAACATAATCTAGTGAACTTATTCTATGAGTATTCTGTTTCTATAGTAATCTAATGGGTTTAGTTGCAAAGAATTATATTTCGGTTTTATATGAGCGAATGCTCCGGGCTTGCTTCGAAGCAAATATGTTCTTTCACGTCATTCCGACCCTTCTGTTTTTCCCACCCCTTCCACCTTGTCCAAACGGGTGGAATCCATGGCCTTTCTGATATGGATTGGTTACCTGATCCGGCTTGCTCAGGAGCAAGGGGGTTAACTTGTACTTTGGTTGTCCCGAAATCGGGAAATTGTGTGCCGCAGGAGTGAGTCTTGAGAGCAGCTTTGAAAGAAGCGAGAATTATTATAGTTGGGTATTGTGCTTCAAGATTAGTTGGACATACCAGAGACTGGTAGGTTTCACAAGGAAAAAAGCAGTATTGAATACGTGGTTAGCAGTCTGTAGGATTTTCTACCGCTAGCTTGACTGATCATACTGGCCGGGAAATCCACACAGACTCGGGCTATCGTTTTAGCTAGTACTCAATCTGTCCTTATCACAACCATTACGCTCAATGCATCTTCATTATCTCGATTATATTTGTCCAATTCTACCCCATTACTTCTTTATTTTCCATAAAATCCAGATGAGCCCGCTCCTGTACTCGACCGTTATTCTAAAGTTGAACAATATCAGAAGCGAAGCTTGAAGGGCTTAGTGAAGCAATCCAGAAAAGGCGAGGACGTGTAAAGGTCTCAATGAATTCACCGAAGGCAAGTCTTTTCTGTGGAGGCTAGGTGGTCGTTTTGGAAAATGATTTCCGTTGTACGGCAATGTACGATATGGTAACGAATGTATTTTATGAGAAGGTTCTCTAGTATCTTTGTCTAGAACTGATTAAAACCAGATTTTGTTGGAACAGACAAGGCATGTCTACTTTCACGCAGTGCTACCAATGTGAAAGGCGATAAGGCTCAGGGATAAACTGTGAATGTGCGAGGAGTCAGCAACGGGTAAATGGTGCTCCTTATAAGAGGCTCCTGGTAGGCGCGTATACTCTAGCACAAGGCCCTAGAATGAACAAGCGTCAGAAAATTGAGAAAAGGAAACATGCAGCAGAGAACAGACAGCTTGTCCCGTTACAACTTACTCTACATCCTGGCCTCTAGACCATAAATTTCTACAAAAATGCCTCCTAGAGGAAGCATCACAAAGGGCATGAAAGAAGCGTGGAAATCGCGCTGAACATAACTCTCTATTGAAATACATTGCTCTCTCAATCCTCCTTGAAGTTAAAGGGACTCTTAGCCCTGCGTCGAGAATTATCAAGCTCTAGACTGAGAACCACGACATAAATACAGTACGAGTGCGAAAACTTGAAGGCCGTTGGAGTTGGTGATGCCACATGCAAAGAAACACTTTCTTCTAGTATGGGAGCCGCATTTGTAATTCTGAAGCGCGTCTGCCTTTCTACCCCTTCAAGTATTTTTCCTAGCAAGTCTGTCCTGTGGTCTTATGTACATGTTTATGATAGGCTATGAGATTCGATTGTGAATGTAGGTATGAGGCTTGTTTGTGGTATGGTTTTGAAATGACGCAAGTGGAGTGCGGTCGGCTCGCTTTGATAAAAGGAAAAGGGGGGCTCTTGGATGACATGGTATCTGCTGGCTCGGTTGAGGCCCACAATGGCAGAAGTGGGTGGGTTGTTTCTGACTTTCAGCTGTTTGCCGGTGCAGATTGAGCTTAGTTGCGAAGGAGGGGTCGGACAAAACCTATATAGCATCCGTTGAGCCTCTTAAATCTGTATGCTTCAGGAACGGTAAATCACAGTTTTGCAAGTTTCTCGGTGTTCATGAGGGATTGAAAATGACATAACATCCCCGAGAAAATATATACTCTGAGTAGACGTCCCGTCAATCAAACACGTTTTTGGTGTTTTACATCAAGTGTTGCATATCTTTCTGCAAAAAAAGGAAATGAGGGCACATAGGAGAAAAGGAGGCATGTGTGCTACTCGAGTATGTTGATGTTCTTTGAATTCATAAATTACAAGAATATAAAGTCCCAGCAAAAACCAACCCCTCCCCTCCCCCAAAAATAGTAAAAAAATCCTCACCCTCAATGAAGGCGGCCTCGGACAATAAACCAGACGAACTGAGTTTTTTGCGGTTTGACTAGTCAGTCTTCAAGTAAAGCTCTCACCCAATGTTTCCATTAAGTTACTCAGACATGTACCGGACGACATGGGGTGAAGGGTATTACTTAAGGTTATGAGTGCGAAGGGGGGTGAATAGGTGCTCCGATGCTTTTGACTCAATTCGACCCTTGAATACTCTCATACTCCAACGAAGCGAGAATATAGGCCGCCGAACCAAGAACACTGTTGTATCTGAGAGGTTGCCCAACATAGTACTATTCAAGAATTAGCTTCGCTTCGATGTGAGATGGAATTCTCCATGCTTACCTCGTATGTTGCAGTGGAATTCAAGCTGCAAATTGTCACCGTCCCATTCCATCCAAGAACTCTTTCATTCTCATATACCACGAACGTGTTGGTCAAGTACTCATATGCCCCCACTCCGATAGTTTTAGAAGATTCTGCATCGTTGCCTTCCAGATAACCCAGTCTCACCCCTTTGAGAAGGCCATAAGTGAACATGGAACTAGCGCTGGATTCGATGTAATTCCCTTTGCGGCCCGGTTGGTCCACAACCTGCCACCAAGCGCCAGTTTGGGAGTCAACAGCTTGGATGACAGCTGCAGCGAGAGATCGATATCTCTCTCCTAGCTGTTTCGTGTAGCCCTGTGTCACAGGCTGGGATGACAAGATTTCCAGTGTGTCAACCAAAGCCATGAAGTACCACCCTAAAGAACGTCCCCAGACATTGGGGCTGGCTCCTGTTTCGGGATTTGCCCACACAGCCGTACGACTGTCGTCGTAGCCATGGGCGAGAAGACCTGAGGTGATGTTTAGGCAACGTTGCCACAGGAGGTCAAGTTGGTACATAATGTCATCCACCGCCGTGCCGTTGATGGCAGTGATTACTTCAGCATCCTTGGTGCCTCTGGAAAGGGCGTAGCGAGCGTAGAAGGGTGCAAGCGAGTACATTCCATCCAGATAGGACCATTCTGGATAGACATAATACCATAACCCCAAAACGCTATTCCTTCGGTTCACATCGATGCTCGAGCGCAGCGTTTCGACGCCCAATTGGTACGCCGACGCAGCTGTTTGGTTGCTCGCATCCGCGGAAAGGTCTAGTAGAGCGTTGCCGCTGGAGAGCCGGTCCAGGGGATATTGCAGATCTGCTGTGGCAATACCATTGGCGAAATAGTGCAGCACCGAATCAACGCTACTCCGAACATAGTCGCGATAGATGTTGGCATTATCATCATCCGGGTACTGGGCGAGGAGAGCCGTGAACGCCTTTTGCGTGAACCCGGCCTGCAGCGGCGCCGAAGAAAAGGACTCATTCATGATACCATCATTACGGGATATGAGGCTTTGGGCCATCCATAGCGAGTATTTTTCCGTGGCAGAATATCCTGCTGTGGCGTGGACCGTGGTGGTGAGGGCAAATATGCCTGCAGCGAGAACACCAAACTGCATCGTGAACGAGTGACGAGCAACTACGAGTGCGATGACCGAAAAATGTTACAGTACCGGCAAACCTCCATATACATACATAAATATGTATATAATTTACTCGTACGATCAAGCGTCTCTCCGAAACCGGCGGTGAGGCATTACCCTTGTTGCAATACGGCATGTTGAATTAGCTTTGGTGCACCATATTAGCTTTACATTACAGTACGGTGGGCTTGGTGCAATCTGTTGAACCTCGATATACCCGAAGCCACAACATTATTCTCCATTGCATCTCAACCTCATTGCGAACCAACCGATATCGGCGTTGAATATATGGGAATTAGGCTTGAAGGTGATTAGCGATCAAAGGGTTGGGATAATGAACTTGGAGTAGGCGGACGTTTTACATATAGTAATCAAAGAGATACTGTAAGCATTGAATGGCAGCCAAGAATACCAAGCACAATTATCTGAAAAGCTCAATGAAAAAGTGCATAAAGGGGGTGGTCAGTCAAAGCTTGACTATATTACGGCCCGGTCCCGATTTTTGGCTAAACCAGCCAATGCCAATCACAGACTCGGATCTGGGAGATATAAACTTTTCTCACATAAGATCTGCGTGACAATGTCCTGTATTGACTGTCTACGCCCTTTTGCTTTTATACATGCCTGGGACGGGATTTACTTAAGCTTACGTGGTTTTGCTCTGTCATACGCGTTCTTCATTTGTTGACAAAGCTGCTTTCAAATAGATACCTCAAATGAATACCTTTTCAAAACCCACCTTCTATTTCTTATGCTACGGTAAATTACACTCAAATTTTCCCTCGCGGATACCCAAGAATCTGGTAGCCCACAGTTTCCGTAGTCATTATTACGCCTGGAATGAAGTATAAGTTAAAGAGATCCTCACTCGCTAATTCGATAAACAAGCTTTGTTCCACTAACTTTCCCATCCTTAAGATCTTGCATTCCGTTCTATATTCCATCAATCCCCCCTCCCTCAAGTCCACCGGGTGGGGCTCAATCGCTTTAGACTCCAAAAGCTCTTCGGCTAACAAGATAAACTGTCTCCCAAGTTCATATTCTTCTGGCTTAGCTGACCATTCCTCTCCCTCAAAGACAAAACCTCAACCTTCAATGGAATAAGCAAGCGGAAATTTGGTCTCCACGTCTTGCCGTGGACAGGTAATTCCCATGAGATTTACGTATAGAAGAGGAGACTTTGAGGTCGACGAAGGTGCTTCTGCGCATATTTGGGCAGAGGAGGAGATGGCGATTGTATCTAATACAATGCTGAGTTTGTTGCATGTCAAATTGCGGATGAATGACCCACAGGTTGGATCGTTCTTTGTAGTTACGTTAGAACTCAGCTGATCTCGATGGTGTTTGATAGATCAAGGGAGAGATTAGAATTAGTCAAAGATGATCAAGGAGCACGAACATAATCTAAAGTGAAATCGGCTCCGTAGCCCTTCAGCAACTCGAAGTTTCTTGGCGAAGATGTTGTGATGACAGTAAGGCCAGAGCTATTACCATACTCGAGCCAAAGTGTCTAATTGTCGGAAGAGAAGAATTGACAATTGTAACCCAAAACTTGGCAGATTGAATAGCCATAGTTCCCATCGTTGTACTACCACCATAGATGAAGATGTACTTCTCATTTGCCACATCTTTCTTCTCGCTTGTCGGAAAGGAAAGATTGAGAGATTTTGGGGAATATTTGTAGACATGCATAAATATTGATTGTCAATCCAGTTGAAAGATCGGAGTCTCACAGCCGAGAATTACCCCGAATGCACGCCAATGATATCTTCTCAGCACCGTGTAGGGTTGTTAAATTAGATATAATTTAAATAAATTATCTATAATTATTAAATTAGGCGATTATCTGAAAATAAATTATTTATAAATTATCTGAATCACGTGATATATATATATAGGGCGGAAAATCTCTCTCAAGTCCCTAAGGAGAACCCCGTTAAGACTTAAAAGAGCGCTTATATAAATAAAAGAAGAAGATATAGTAATAACGAGGTAAAACACAAAGATTAGCTACGTAGTTAATTCTTAGGATTAAGTAACTTTTTACATGTAATTTTAGTAGCCTTTTTAGTAAGTTTAGCTTACTTCTATACCCCTTATTTACCCCTTATTCACTTCCTAAAATACTCTATATTCATTGCTAAAACCTAATATTAGACCTGAAATCTTTAATTATTATAAATTAGACAAAAATAAATTATAATTAGATTAAGTAAAATTAGATCTCACAACCCTAGCACCGTGATCCAATCGTTCAGCTTCTGTAACTTGTAAGTGTCCAGAAATAGAAGAGGCAAGAAGTCGATGGAGTGTTACGAATGTAATAAGTGACAGGGGATATTAGGAGAATGATTATTCCACGGAAGTCTTCTAGGTTATATCCTAATTGGGAACCATAGCATACTAGCGCCAGTATAAAATGACCTAAACAAGAACTTTCTCCCCAGACTTTTCATTCTCCAACTTTGCAGCCTGTTCATTGCTCTTTCTTCCTACATCCACAATTCTTGTGCAATAAGCAGCCCCGATCGCGAACACCCCAAACCCTATCGCAACCAGAAAAACAAGTTTAAAACCCTCGACATAGGACTCCTTTACAGCCAATTGCGCGGCTTGAATTACTGCGGGAGTAACACCTGATACCTTTTGGTACGCGGCTACGGTATTGTTAGCAGAAGCTTTGAGAAGAGACTCAAAAGATCCTGTAAACCCGGCGCTGGAGGTGTAGAATCCGAGTTTTTCGGGAATGGAGGAGGCGTAGTGGTTTGTGTAAATGGATGTGTAGATTGCGCCTGCTACGGCTCCGCCAATAAGACGGGACGTTGAGACTATAACGAGTGCCACACCACTTGCGAAGATTAGGGTGGGAATATCTTCGAGCGAGGAAAAGAACTGACACATCTTTTTGGTCATCCAGGCCCAGGCTTACAGTTCCAGCGATCAAAGGAGAACATGAGCTTGCTGTCATGCCAGCCAGTAGTACAAATGCAATTGCTCTCCCCATGTCGATTATTGTGAGACTTGAAAGCGCGCCTGTAAAAGCTGTTTGTGTGGTGACAAGGAACATCAATTGCCAGCGTTCGTGTCCCACCCATGGCATTACTGCCATGCAATAGATGCTCGAAAGAATGGTTGAGAAACTCGTCATATTGGCGTATAGACCTCGAATGATTATATCATTCGTTGAGACGAAAAGTAGAGCGGATATGCGAGGCCAAAGTCTGTGTTTAAATAAGTGAGTATGGTAGCTGGAAGAATAAGAACCGGAAACCTTACGCGAGATTACTGTAGAAGAGCATTCCACATACAAAAGCTACTACAAGAAGTGCAGTAAAACTACCTCGAGTCAGTAGAGCATCTTTATGCAATAGATTTACTCACTCGCGCCATTTTTTGAAGAGCCTTGTGGGTAAAATTGGATGCCTGAGTGGTGCATAAACTTCCCAAAATCCCAGGGAAATAAACAGAGGACCTGACACAACTATAGGAGCAAGAACAGAGACACTGTTCCAAGGTGCAGTTGTTCCACCCTGAAGATTGTCAGCTTCAGCTCCTTAAGAAGCAGCTTCCCCTACGTACTCTGGTGATACCGACGAGTAGTAGAGTGCAGCCTGCGGTAAATGTAATAAGACCCAAAAAGTCAAGTTCCTTCAAAAGCTCCAGCTTTGTCTTGTGGTCCTCTTGATGTTTTGTTTCGAACGTTGGAGGCTTATAAAATAGAAAGAGGAAGACGAGGCTGGCGAATTCAAATGCAAAGCACCAATAATAACAAGTTCTCCATCCGAGCTCAAGGTAAGCAATGAAAGCGTAGGATATCAGAGCGCTAAACATTGCAGGTGTGTTTGCAATCTCGGTAATACCTGTGAGTATGGTTAGCATATATATTTCCTGTGAACGACGCTACAAATAATTCAATGTGTCTTACCAAGAACGGTGAATTTATACCTATTAGGCACCAACTCTTGCACACAGGAAAAACACATCTCCTGAAAGCCACCCCCGAGACCAAAGATCACTCCACTGATAATCATGGAAGGAATATGATTCGCAGTTGCGCCGACAATTGAGCCAATACATCCCAAAGCAGCACCGGTAATAAGAAACCAGCGTCTACCAAAAATATCCGCCAGTCGACCACTAACTGTGACTACGACCGCTGCTACCAGATTCCATCTGGGAGATAGTTAGACTGGTAAAAGAATGGTGGAAGCTGAAGCTGTACTCACGATATGGTAATCCAAATGTTATTCTTATCCGGTCCCAGTTCTGCGATAATGAATGCCAGTACAGCAGGTGGCATTGTGAGCGTGAAAAGGTAGGCATTGTACTGAACTAATAAGGACTAGGTTGAATTAGAGAGATGGAAACCCATGAGTATCTCGAAGAAGTACAAAGATTGCAAGTATCGTTTGCCATGATATTGTGGGCTTTGCCACCTCCAAATCTGCTTGCGGGCTACTGATACGTGATGGGTATTCGTGATGCTCGGGACCAACTTCGTCTCCGTCAGGCGAGATTTTTTCCTCCATAGAATCCATTATTATTAGGTATCGCTAGCATTGATTTATTGCGGTGATGAGACAGTTCTATGAGCAGATGAGGATCTCAAACGGCCATTGATCCCTTCCCCCCCTTCGGCTTGCACCAATCATTGTGTGATACAAAATATCCCGGAAATACAATTCCGAAAGACGAAAGAGACCTCCTCAGAATCGAACCAATAGAATAATGGGTCTTGCAGGAATTACATGCACTTACAGGCAGAATTCGAGGAAAGTGGGGAGCCTCGCCAAGGAAGCAGTCAAATCGGCAGTCTGGAATGCCACATGAGAGTTCCTCATACTTCTTGTACTCAATTTATGGCTTCTTTACCCTTTCATTTTACCCTTCCAGGGTTTCCGTTTACTTTCTTCTCCTTTCACCTTCTTAATAGGATTGAGACAAGAAGTAACAAAAACCCACCTTCCAAAGTTCACTTTCTTGCCCCTCTCCAGACTCAATGCTGGTCCGCCAGAGCACCTGTGCTAATAGGAGGGTTCTTGATCGTTGATGCTGGGGTAAGATACCTGGTCGTTACTCTGTACACACTATATAAAACTCTATCATACTAAACTTGTAGTACAAGTAAGATAAGAACTATCTTGGGATACTTAGGTTATCAAAAAGTAAGAGTTAACAATTATTCAAGCTCTTTATATGACCATTTTAGTTGTACGACGTTTTGAGAATAATTTTATTCTAATAGAGGTGTGTACAGAAAAACGTCCATGTCTCTTACTTCTGTTCATAAAAACATTTGTACTGTACTCATCGCCATAGAAATTTCTCTACCTATAAGAGAAGTCAAGCTAGCCACCATAGTGCACTAGAGCTCAATAACACCTCAACTTTCCTTCCTCAGCTTATAAACAGAGTGAATCAAGACTCAAGAGAGAAGATGGATTTTACAAGGCCTTCTAGAATAATCTTCAAGGGTGTCCATCGCTATTCCTTCCAATGGCAGGCTAGACTATGCTGACGACACACTTCGTGATTGCCTCAGCATTTTGTGGCCTTTGCTCTAGGATAGGTTAAGTTTGAGTTTAAATATATCGGTACGTGGAATTGTGTGGTTATTACTTTGTGTATATTCTAAGAACTAATTATACTACTAGAAGTCTTAAAGTAGATATCGTAATATCGAGATATTTTGGTTGAACGTACGAATAAAGACATTAAAGTTGATTAACTCAGGTTACTCATACAACTTCCTACAGTAATAATAGAAAAATGTATTACACCCATCACTGATCAAGTCCCACTCAATCAAACAAATCCAACAAATCATTAAGGTATTCCACCACCTCCACGCCCCGAATCAAAACCTCATTCTTGGGGAAGCACTCAGTCGGCTTATAACAAGCAATCTGCTGCTCAATGAACGATCGATTCTGGGAATTCTATTGGGACATTTAGTAACCACTCCCCACAACATATCGACCAAAACAGAACAAAAGATGTGGAGGAAATGGAAAGAGGCCGATGAATAAGAAAAGAATGAGAAAGAAAAACTTACACCACTCCTACTAGCCCACTGCCTCTGCAAGGTCCCAACACCTTTCGCAACCCCACTTTCCTCACCAAAATGGTAAAGCATCTGCAGCTCCTGGATAGCATGCAGGAAATGCACCGTCGAAGAAAGGAAAGACTTATATTCTGTCAGGATAATGGAGCACGGTATTTCCGTGTTTGCAGGGGGCTGTTGGTTTAGAGATTCTGGTGATGAGAATAGCGGTTTATTGAGTTCGAGGAGGAGAGTCGTGGTTAGGTTGTTGAGGACTGTTGTTATTTTCTACACGGTATGTTAGTTTGGGTATATTCAGAAAAGTGGCGGGAATGAGGAGAGGTACTGTAGTGATGTGGTATATGTTTTTGTTAGTGGAAGAGAGACCTGATTTCCACTTTGCTAGCGTTGGAATTCATCATTGAGCTGGGACTGATGAGAGCAAGACTAGATGATTACAAGGGGCGAGGAAACCACATGACAATCTCTACCAACCAGTCTCTATCCATCCATTCCACAACCCTCGAAAATATATCTTCATCTCCCCTCTGCCCAAAAGAGGAAGCCACTCGACCACCGTCAATGAACAAAACTTTCTATAAACATAGAAAAAAACGACAAGAACCAAATCAAACTCAGAAAACACCTCAGAATATAAGAGCAGCAAGAACCAAGCAAAAATAAAACTTACATCCTCAACACCCCTCCTCCCTCGCCCCTCCATCCCAAAAACCACCTGCTCCCTCACCCCAACCCCCCTACTATTCTCCCCAGTCTCACCAGCATCCAACACCCCCCTCAAAACCCCATAATCCCCCTCCGTAACACCCCCCAAAAACCGCATAGTCCCCAGCGTAACCCTCCCCCTTACAAACCCCATCAACATCAACGCAACCCACAAATATCCATATGCAAACCCCCGCATCATTTCCGAGTCCCCAATTCGTAAATAACCACCGCGATCCAACGTCTCAGCTCTGAAGTCTAAGCTGATGATGGGAAGGGGCACTGCTGTGTTGAAGAGTTCTATTCCATATTGCGTTGCGTAGACTATTGGGTGACGCGGTCGATTCAAGGAGGGTGGTGAGGTAAGGTGATACAAGTTGTTACGGTATGGTACGGTACACCAGATATTCGATGCCTCAGTTCCCTCACAAGGCTTGAAGGCTGCAATTGGCGGAATATATGGGAGTGAAGCCTACTCTATCAAGCCAGCATAGGAAGATAATTAAATGACGTCGAACAAGCGGATCTCAATAGTGAATTTTTAGAAACCCGGTAATAAAACAACCCCCGAATTCGCTCAGCTATTTTACGTCACTGGGAGACCCAATAATCCTTATTTTCATGAAAGTTGCAAATTACGGATGGTGTATAAATTTCACAAAGAACCAGATCATATCATGACTTTATTTAGCTATTTTACTGGCCCACAGTCATCGGGGTTTTTTGAAACAAAGCCAAGGTCAAAAAACCAGACGGATAACCTGGCAAGGCCATACCTTCTCCCCTTCCACCTTGCGTTGTAAAAAACTGCCACCGCTCCACTACTCATCACCACATACACGACATCAAGATCCAGTAAGGCCGTAAAATAATTCACGACCCACCATCATAACACCACGCCCCTCTATAGAGAGGCTTGCCGTTGTTATTAAAAAGGAATACGAGAATCAACTGGGCAATTCCCATGTAATATTGAGATACACCTCCCATAGACTCATCAAACAGGAGCCTTGCCATCGGTAGAAACAGAAACGCTTCCAGTACAGGAGGAAGAAAAAAAGGGAAATCAGAAAAATAAAAACAGAGAAGCAGATCAACAGGCAAGGTGATTTTGTACACATTCAGAGCGCCCCGTCTCAACCGAACTTTCGTTCGGGATTGGTTTGTTGAGCGACTGGGTGATCCGAAAACGAAATGGGATGGGCACAGGTGTGCATGCCTGCTGTTGGTATAATAAAGCACCGCCGAGTTTTGTAAGATGAACGCCTATGTATCCGAGTACAAGGAAATTTCTTGTGCGCATGTAGCAAGTGAATGCCAATGATTTATATGAGACCGCAGAGACGAAGGTTGTCTTGGATGATAATATCTGCAAATAATTAGATGAGATTCCGAAAAAGGGCCTTCTCACTACTTACCATTGACGGCTGCCATGACGAATCGAATTTGTGTGGTGTCGGTGGCGCAAGTGAAATGAGTGTAAATTTGCTTGGACTCGTGTTGATTCAGGCTTACGAAGCGGTTCAAAATATACTCGCAGGCTTGTGTGTAGTCATCGCCCCCCTCATAATCCGGAAAGTAATTCTTCATTGGGCTGACTGGAAGCTTCTCCTTGAAACGATCGATCTTGTTCAAGAAAAGGATGATGGAGGTCTTGATGAACCATCTTGAATTGCAAATTGAGTCGAACAATGTAAGAGCCTCCTGCATACGGTTGACGGTCTCGTCCTCGAAAAGGAGTTGATCGTACTCGGAAATGGCGACCAGGAAGAGAATGGTTGTGACATTTTCAAAGCAATGAATCCACTTCTTTCGTTCCGAACGTTGTCCTCCAACATCGAACATACGGTACGTTAGGTCGCCGATGATGAAAGTTGTCTCTGTGATACCGGTGGTCTTGACACGCGAGCGCAAAACATCCTGATCATCTGGCATGTAGTCATGTTGAGCAATACGCTCCACGTTGTCAAAGTAGCTAGAAATACCATTAGCAAAAAGGACGGTAGAACGAAGGATATTGCAGTCTTACTATCGTGCAGAATCGTTCAATTGGTACTCTCTCGATCGCTTGAAACAGTCCAGAACACCTTGATCCTTCCACAAAGCCGCAATAGCAGTACCGACCTCAGGTGGGAGGTTATCGCCTTCAATTTGAGCAGGTTGCATGAAGATGGTTTGAACGTGGTACTCGGCTCTTTGGTCATCCAACGGAAGCTCAAGCGACTCCATGGCCTCCAGAATGACTCGCATCGACTGAACCGTGTTGCTGAAAATGATTTCCTTGAACGATTCTCTCTCATCGCGTGAGTAACCACCCTCGTGGATAAGCTTCATTTGCTTGATGATAGTGGACTTTCCGGATTCTCCAGCACCTATTTCAAAAAGAGTTAGCCGCCGCACATTCTGTGTAAAACCCAAGTGTGCAAACGGGAGAAAGGGTCCTTAAACATGGTGGACACCCGACCACTCGTACGGAGTCATCGTTGAGTGCTGGTGAAAAGAAAGCAGGTCGGTGTCTGGGAGTAATGGCCACCACTGTTCCCGTCCGACTTTCACAATGACGACCCCCGATGAGAAAATCGGAAAACCCAATAAGAACTGTTACTATAAGACAAACGTACCGAGGAGGAGCATCTTGATCTCGTTGCGCTGCAACATCTTGTCTCGTTTCAGTTGATTCTCGATTTCCTCGTTCCGGGCCTTGCCCTCCTTGTCCTCGGTACTCATACCGCAACCCATCTTGACTGATTATGATTCGACGATTATGGTTGAGATGTTTGGCTCGCGTGAAATCGAAGTTTTGGGCGCGTCTGTAACAAGAAAAGATGTCAGTTTTTGACTTTCGTGGACAGAGGATAAAAATCGCCCTGCAGCTGAAAGCCACTAGAATAGCCTAGCAGTGAGAGCATCAACGACCATCGCAAGAACGATTGAAGACCAGAAGCATTGATTGACAATGTGCAATGAAGCGAGTCCACTCAATCTCCTATAGATAATCCTCGATGCCCCGTTGCCGCGAAAAATGGTGAAGTCTGAATGGTGGCCAAATGATGTTCGGCGAGAGCGAGAGCGAGAGTCTGCGTGGTGGGAGAGCGAGTCGCGGGCTTTCAAATGGAGACCGAGACGCGGTATTGACTGGAATCGAGCAGAGCGAACGTACCTGTTTGAATTGCAGATGTTCGCAGGATTACGCAAATGCACCAGGCTGTGGACGCTCCCAATACACAATGCACCTCCGGTTGTGGTGGTTTCGATGTCTGGATGGATGTGTCGATGGATGCAATGCGAAGGAGGAGAAAATAGGGAGCTGGAGGGCAAGAAGGGGTACGGCTGTTGCGCCTGCACCAAGTGAGATGCAGCCGCCCCTAGGGACTGCCTAGGTAGGGATAGCGCCCCTCGAGCGCCCCTAGTGCTTTCGCTTAGGAAATTGACGTGCAGGGCAGCACCAGGCCTGTGCGCTGCGTGGAGCTTCCGAGCAACAAAAACAGTGGAGGCTGGACCTGGATTTAGAAGATTTGCCTTTCACAATATCAGACATTGTTTGGCGGGCTACAGTACTTGTATGGAGCACGACGAAGTATATTTTTCGCAATGGTTATATGTACAATCACGCGGTTCTGCAGCGGTGTTGACCATGTTATGATGCTATGCAATGCAGGCAATTCATGACGCCTAACAACTCGGCTCGCTACAGCTGCATTCATTCAAGAATGGATGCCAAAGTCTTAGCGATTTTCGAATGTTTTGCGGATCAAGACGAGGCCAAGCCTGGGGGAGTTGCCTCTAACAGAAATATTATCGGGCCCTGACCTGATTGCCAACTAATAAGCTCTTGTCTTGACTTTTTTTTCGTCCGCCTTGTGCGTGTAGACTTGTAGCGCATTTCAAGGTAATTTACTCCGCTCCGTGCTGGAATACAAATGATGCCAGATGTATCACCCAGCATCTAAAAATATATTCGAGCTCTCCAATTCTTGCAAGGCTCGCCACATCTTGAACCTCTCTCTGTGTGATAAAGCTTTGCACCTGAGTAAGAATTGGGAGTCAGCATCATGCAGTGAGAAACATGCCCGAATCTGGATCTCGGCTGGCGTGCAAAAAGGTCAGCACCGCAATCGATCCAGCCGGACGGAGGAGCTGAAGGTCTGAAGCCCCTCGGACTCAATATTGTACCAAAGCGTTGTGCCTACTTCTACATACTTCTACTTCTACTGTGCAGTAGTAATGCGCTGTGCTGTGCTGTGCTGTACAGAAGCGAGAGAAGCTACTCCGAGCTGAAAAGGGATATCCGAACATAACATCAACAATAGACACCACCCGCGACTAATGCGACACCAAGCCCTAAAAGTCAATAGCTAGCTTTCGCATTCGGCCTTCCAACACTTTCGAGTTTCCATCGGTCATCTCATCAGCGTTGCATCACGACAGGCAGAGAGCGTATAAGGTACTCAAAGTGGATGAGGGATCCGCCTGTGCACCGGGATGCTCACTCCTTTTTCAAGGATGGGATGGCTCGTCGACAGCCAACAAAAAATCCCACTATCCCCGCGCGTCGTAACAGATCTCAATTAAGCCCCATTTCGAAAATCGCTCTTGCAGCAACATATTGGGGAAAGCCGTTTCAACTCGTCTGTTCTTGTTGGCTTATTCAAGAATCTTTGCCACTGAATTGTTTGACTCAAACTCAATCGGTATCGTCAACCGGGACTTTTTGGCGCGTCAAACACCTTGCAAATAGTTTAAATCTCCGGGCGGTCCTTTGTGATTCCGTCCGTACGAATACTCATAGACGACTTTTCGCTATCACGAAGTACTCCGTGCCATGCCTCTCGACAACGACTTGTAGTCAGTTCTGCAGAAGTTGCCAATTTTACATCCACATCTGCAAGCAACCCGGGCGCCACAGAAACCGTTGAGCCACTCACATCCCCGGATTCCATAATCGAGACCAAGTCCAGTCCAGTACCTGAGGCAGCCCCATTGTGTTCCTGGGGTGTACCAGGCGAAAATAGCTTCAGATGCACTGACATGCACGAGAAAGGCACACCCGACCAGACCACTTAAAGTACAAACAGTACCTCATAGGATGAGCCGCCGTTTCTACGTTCCTTCCACCACATGGCGCCCGTCTGAAGATTGAAACCCATCAACCGCTCTTGTCAAAGAGTTCGCGTTGCGAGTACGTGGGAAATGTCACACACACAGGATGCTCTAACCCGCAGGACCGGTGATCTGAACGGCTGCATCGTCATTACGGTAGTGGGTTGCTGAAATGTCGGTGACGAGATGCTATGCCGAGGAAGGGACCTCCAAGCCGGGAACAATTCTCCTTCCCCTGGGAGCCGTTGGCCTGTGAGTTGGAAGTAGAAAGAAACGCGTGTTGAGTTCTTCCACTTCGTACTTCGTACTTCACCATCGCATAATGGTAGTGGTGAAACGAGACATTCGACTAACCCCAACACCACATAAGCTCCCTCAAAGGCATAATATAACCCATGAAAAAATGCCAGAAAAGATACCAGTAGCAGCCTTCTAGAAACATCCCCAGATTCCAGACTCTCCCGTTGAAAGATCTCAAGAAAGCATACCAGTATCAGCTTGACAAGCTCTACATAACGAATATCATTCTTTCTTGCCACGCGAACCACGCGAGCAGTGGGGACACTTGTGGTCTGATTGGTAACGACAGAACGCCATCACATTTGACGACGCATGGGAATCTCCTTCCAAATGTTCTGGAAGGAACCCCTATTTCGCCTGTGCATTGAAGATCCTTTCCCAAAGTTGTTTTGTGAGCTATTGATTCACTCCCTGTTTGGACGATGCGCGCAGATCCTTTGAAAGGATAAGGTGCTTATTTTTCTGTTTCTGGTGATCACCCGTTCCGTTCTTGTTAATCCTACACAACGGCTAGCCTTTTTATAGATTGTCTGAGCACCGTCGATGTTTCTTTACCTACGGCAGTCTGCAAAATTCGAATAAAGTACGAGGTGTGTGGTAAGCTTATCTGATTGGTGTTGAAGCATACTCAGGGCATGGCTGTGGTGTTGGAGCTCTTTGATACGCCCGAGAAAGCCTTACGACTGAAACCACACGTCCAGGGTCTACAAGTATTCGGTGCTGTACTTTTACTCGAAAAGGCCGCATAGAGCATCTTTTCCCGTTCTTGTGGTAAAAAGTGAGTCGGAAGATCAAATTATCTTAGAAAGAAAAGTACACTACAGGAGTTTGATGGTCATTTCATCCAACGCCGCCGTCCTTGCTCATGTAGAAAATTCTTTGGTATATTCCATTGACTAGCCGTGGAAGAAATTCAATTACAGATATACAAATAATTACCAGGTGAATTTGGTTTCCACTTCCAAATTGAAAAGTGATAAAAAGACATAGATTTATTTCAACAGTGTATCTACAATATAATCTTACATTTGAGTTGCTTGAACCAAAAGAATCTAGAGGAGCATTTATATCCCATTACTCTATAAGCAGCGCTAACACAAAACCACTCAACTACTTAACTCAACTCTACTCGAGTAGTTATATCTAACGTGACTACAAGGGTCTGGACAGCCCTCCCCTGTATACGACTTGTTACAGCCAGGGTATAACTCCATACTATAACCCCCTAGGCAAATTAGAATGTCCGATTTTTAGAAGTATATCGGAAAGCGATCAGGAGGGCAGTCCAGATCCTTCAATATAAGAAACTTCTCCTCAAATAGGATATGCCTGATACAGGGGCACTTAGCTAAGTCCATTAACGCGGACCGACCGTCTGGAGTCCGGCGATCGAGCCGGGGTGCGCTACGGAGCATCGGGTCCACCACGGTCGACACTACTCGAGCGAGTCGAGTTACTTATGGGTTAAGTGAGGACTACACGAGTTGAGTTGATTGGTGATTTTTACTACTCGAGTTGAGTTGTGTAGGTACCACTACTCACCTAACTAATCGAATTTCCTACGCTGTCTGTAAGTAATTAAATCGAGTGGAGTCCACTAATTTGAGCCAAATGTGCCATAAGGTTTTCTACGGTTAGTGTGCTGGTGTGTGTAGAGGTCCAAGCTACTCCAGGTAGGATTACCGAGTAAGCGAGCATTTGAAAATACTCTGGGATATCTTATCTGTCTGCCATTACAACCATACTCTTCTCTCAGGTCAATTTCACGACTGGTTTCTTCAGTGTCAGTATAATAATCTCATTCCTTTCCACTTAATGGTTTATATCAACTCATCAGTGCTGCCATGACTACAAATCCTATTGCGGAATACTCTCACTGTTCTATACCATGGCCACACAGGACAAGAGACTTATCTTTCAAGGATTCGAGAACTTTCGGACACATTTAGCTCACTCCTGTCATGAACCTTCGCATCCCAAGAGAGCCAATCTCAGAATGTGCAACAACCACATAACAACCCAGCAAGAACCGTAATGAAGCTCATAACAAACAAGAAAGCAAGCAATCGTAACAATACTTATGTCCAACTCCTCTTCCTCAACAAATCTGTCCCATAACAACCTCCATCACCCTCCTGGCGATCAACTCCGTCGACCATAGAATCCGAGCTCAAGCTGTTCGTACCATCAAATCTACTCGCCTCCCCCAAAGTACCGACCCACCCATACCGGTGATCAAAACGCTTTCTTTGCCCCCCCTCAGTCCTGTCAGATTGTGCTCTCTCATTCTCAGTCTTATCAAACAGCGCTCTCCTTTCCCCCTCTCTCGCCCACGCCCTATCCGCTTCCGAGCCTTTCATGAACCACTTCTTCGGCACAGGAATCGGGGGAACAGGATCCTTCTTAACCACATCCGTCACCGTGTCAAAGAACCCCTTGAGAAACTTCCCAGCATTGACATTCATCATCGCCGCTTTCCCAATGTTTACACGTGTGTCTTCAAAGTCTACGAGCTTTCCTTGGACGTATTTCGAGGCTGCTAAGTAGGTTTGACGGATATAATAGCCACACAGGAGGATTACAACGATGAGGATTGCGAGCGCTATTACGAGTTCGCTGGTTCCGAAGGAGGATGTAGTTGTGTGAGGACGGTCCAGTTGTCTTCGACGAAGGGTGTGATGGGCGTAAAAGTCACTTGGGCGACGGCCTGCGGCTAGGTTGCGTTTGATGTAAGCTGCAGTCATGGTGATTGCAGTTGTGGATTGAGTATCTATGTAAAGGTGATTCGAGGTTTGAAGGAGGGTGTTTATGAAGAGGATTGCTGGGGATGTGATTGCGACGGAATTGCTTATTTGATATTATTGGAAGTTTTCGACAATGATTCTGCTCAGACGAATGAAGAGTAGGGATGTTTTCACAACGTATTCGAAGAATAACTTAGGGAGGAATTCAAGTTCGAGGTAGGTGTAATGCGTGTAGAAACTGGGTGAAGATGATAGGTATTCTTCACATGAACAGAATCGGGTATTTATACCCATGGCCTAGATCGCCTTGATGAGGAAGGTGCTTTCTTGATATATTCTCCTCGCCAATCCCCTGCCACAGTGGATACAAACTTTTGTAAATCGGAAAGAGAGACCAAACGGGCTCATTTGAACGGTTGACAGAGAAAAAGAATAACAGGCCATGAAAACACCAAAAAGACACTAGGCCTTTTGCTATTTCCACAACACTCAGAACAACACCATTTCTTGAAACTGACCAGAAATGGAACCCCCACCCATCTGGTTTGGCAGAATTCCAAGCACTTTAACGAAGTGCAACTCAGCGTTTCTTCACAGGTATGAGACTTCATATCCTATCCGATCAGTTCTTCATCGCTCTCAAGTCCAATGTTTTGTCGGGTCGTTCAGAAATTCTCCCATTCCATGATCATCTATGCTTTTGTACAATGGCGTTCTCCTGTATCCACATCCGCAATATCTATGCATGGCTCCCTACACATCTCCTGATTCGACTTCCACTTATGGACGCTGAGTTCTGATCCCCTCTCTATTCGTCCGTAAAAAGCTTCCGTTGCACTCCTCATAGGCTCTTCCGGCACCAAATCCCAAACCCACGAACGCTGGCCACGCCCTCCGCTTGAATAGGAGAATCGAAAAGACGACACCAAATGAAAGGCCGAGGGATGAGCGGATAAGTAGTGAGGAAAGGCAGCGATCCCACTAGGTTCACCTGGTTAGCCACGCCCCCATTATGGAAGTTTGTATTCAATTCCATATTTGTAAATTGGAATAGGCCCGCGTACCTTCTCGTTCAATAATGCCTCGGAAACAGGTTTGCTTGGACGCGCCGTGACAGGCGGAGGGGGAATTGATGTCTCGACCATTTCTGCTGTTTCCTAATTTTTATTGAATTAGTAAAATATTTCAATCGCTTCCCGGCAGATTCAATTGACATACCGTGATCTGTTTGGCACGGGTATATGTATGTTATGGAGCTTTGTGTGTTGTCCAAGCCAGAGCTTCTGCTGTCGCTCCGGAATTTGAACTGGTTCTCGGTGAATTGAGTGCGCTTAATCGGGAATGGTCCCGCGGCAGAATTTATTCTGCCGGAGGAGGGATGTAAAAAAGTTGGACTGTGAAATGTACAAGCACTTTACGATTGCGCAAATGACATTAAATGGTAAGCAAATCTGTGGTTCCCTTCAATTTTCAAGTCGCAGATAACTGATATACATTTTCAGGCGTCTAAATCTCGCGCCGCGCAAGAGCAACTTGCGACCCTTGAAAAAGCTTCTGCGCCCTTTATAGATCAGCTCACGGAAGCTGCAAAGTTCATTGGGGAGGACTTAGGGGCTGTCGGTAGACCTTTGAAAGACTCGGTGGAGAAGGGAAAACTTTCTAAAACTTTCTCTTACCATGGTCGAGAAGAATGGCTCTTGCGATGGCTATTAAAGAAGCTACAGGCTCCAAAGGATGGCATTTCTAGGTATTACCACTCAATTCTTCACGCGGACATGAGCTCACCTAACAGACAGCATTATAAGTCGTGGTTAATTCTGGGGCATCTTCTACGCAATATACCTTCACCCGTTGCTGCCAGACTTTTGACCGAGCGGAAGTTTACAAATATACTGCGCCAGACACTAGATGAAGCAGAGAAAAGGTCAAGAGAGGTATCTGCTCTCAGTACGAAGACGGATGATCCAGTATCAGAGCCTAAAAAGAGCTCCAAGAAGCGAAAACGAACTCCACCTCTTACGGAGGCTTCGGATGCCTCTTTCAACACATTGATTCTTCAACTACAAGCAATTCATGGCGTATTGGCATTTATAGTTGCTTCTGCGGAGCCGGTAGTTCGATTGTCAGAGGAGAGCCACGATTTGGCGTTTACTGCGGAGTACATGAAGACAACGATCAGGACCACGGCAGAAGAAGCAGCAATAACCTTTGGACTTTGGTTGTCACTATCTTCTTTGACAACAAAGTCTAGTATTCCTGAATCGCAGTTTGAGTCTTGGATCTCACCATTTATACAGTTATGGCAAGCCCGGTCGTCAACTGAGAATGATTTGACCTTATTTTCAATTCATTGCACGAAGCCATTGCTTCAACTGCTTGGGCAGAAAAGCTGGAAAGAGCAGCTAGAACTGGTAGTGGCCCGCAATATCATAATTCCTGCAAGGTCGGATTATACAGGCACTTTAGAAGCAACACTTCTTAACAGTTTGACAAAAATATCGATCATCCAGGATTCTGCCAATGCTCCAATCCTTTTTGATATCGCCACACGATCAATTCAAACTAACGGGTCCAGGCGCCGAAAGCCGCAAGACGATATTTGGTTGCAAGCTGCATTCGTCTCTTTTCGAGAGGCATTTCCTCCGAAGAGGCACGAGGCAAACTGTAAAGCACTGGGCTTGATGCTGCAAACCGCGATAAAATTCAAGATCAATATTAACCTTCCAGTACTGCGCAAAGCCGCATCCGACTTCGCTCTACCTGAAGGGCGCGACAATTGGGAACTTGTTGCCGATTTCTTGAAACTCGATGGGAATGTCTTCCTTATCCCTGATCCCGAGGATGATCTACTGGACAAACTGTTAAGCCGCATTACAGCAATATCCCTAGAACAAGAGTGGGAGTTTTTAGGAGACCAGATTGTACCTGATGTTTTGATTCCACTCATGGACGAGTTCGCCAGAGCAAGAGATCTCACGGGGTTTCTTCGCCATTGGTTTGCTCAACTGGTTTCTTTTGAAAAGCTGCGCAAGAACGGAAGTTTATTAGAGCGCTTTGGTGCATGGGAAGACGATGCATTGCAAAAACAACTCAGTAAACTCTTTGAGGTGTCATTGACTCCACATCAAATTACGCAGATTCTTGATTGGCTCTCCTCTGAAGTTGAAACCAATCCTGATGCTGTTTGTGTATTACTTCAAGCAATATCAGGTTCAATTTCGAAGGAGGAACTTGTTGACGAAATTCAGTTGCGCCTCCATCATATCATGTTTGATAATGGAATATCTGAAAAGCTAGATGGACGTTACAAGTGGAGATCCTTGAGCATAATCTCCCAAACTCTTGAATGGGCTGTTGGGCCTTCGATTGATGAGATTGCTTTGCTTTGCACGGATTTGGCAAAACCATTCGACTCTCTATTTAAAGAGAGAGCATCGTCAAGCGTCAAAGAAGCAATTGATTTTGAGGATCTTGAAGCACTGCGTTGTGTATGCGCTCTGTGGACAGCCGCAGAAACGGGCACTGGATTCGAGCAATCTTTGAAAAATACAATGCTTAATCATCTCGCGTCATTAGTAAGGAAACTAAAGGTCTTTCCACAGCAACTTCGAGGGAGCGAGAGTAACTCTATAAAGGTATGCGGCGTTCGACAGAATACCCTGTGCCGCGGTGTTGGTTGGGGGGTATGGTCTTTAGTTCATTGTGTGTTTGTGGAATATCCGAAATCTCTCGCGTAAGTCTCTCTTTTCCTGTATTATGATCATTCGCTAATTTCATTAGTCTTGGATCCGAAATGGCAGGAGATGTCACTTTTGAGGAAATGTTACGGTCTGTCTTTTGGTTATGTTCTGTGTCCGAGCATCCAAAACTACCTGAACTCCAAACTGCCAACGAAGGACTAAAGTGGCTTTCGACTAATAAAGATGCATTTTCTAATTTGTGGCTATCTGCCATGCAGCAAGATGTCATTTTGAATAGCCCAGTCATTGGTAAGGATTCCACAACCCCTTGTAACGATCTTTTCATATCTAACAGTTTCCCAAGCCACAATGATCGATATCATGCTCAAAGGTCATTCTTATATGGATTGTCCATTTGTTGATCTGGAGGCTTTGAACACTTTCTCTATTCGAGCACTTCTCCAACTTCCGCTTGAAATATTCTCTAAGAAGGATAGGGAGAGCGTAATGACCAAATGGATGTCAGATTCTGCGAAATTTGCGAAAGAACTCGACTTTTCTGCCGCGGATCCTGCAGTTTTGAGTTTGATGATCAAGGTTATGAATCGGCCGACCTTCTATGAGGTAAGTACCGCCGGTGCAGTATATTAATTGAACACAGATCTGACGGGGTCTAGGGAATGAGCTTCCAGAACTTGGTAAATCTGGCAAATCATCTAACACAAACGACATCTCATTCGCCTAAAGTTGGTCTGTCGCTATTTAAACAACTTGCTCGCTTAATAATATGGTAACTACCATCTCCTGCAATATCTTTTGCGCTGATATCAAAAGACTAATTCATTGTAGCCAAATGTCCGAAAACATGGAGCAAATCCGAAATAAAGCTTATATCACCGAAACGTTGAGCGATATGAAGAAAATACTTAAGTCTCTTGGTTCCAAGAAAAAGGGCGAAGATTGGTCATACTCACTGATTGCCTTGTTTGATAGCACATTGGGTGCCCTTCAGATCAAGTCTGCGTCTATGGCTGATCTAGATATAATCAGCGCATCCAAATTTCAGAAGTTGAATGCCAGCTTGAAGCTGTCAATTCTCACACAAATGCATGCTGTCATTGGCAAGCTAACAAAAAAGCTGGCTAAAGAAAGCAGCAGTGGCAAAGCCGGATGTTTGTTGTCTTTGCACTGTATTCTGGACGCGTTATCAAATCTTGGGGTCAACACAGCTGAGCTAGTCGGACTCCAGGAACCTGCCAATGTCTTATTACGGTCGGCTAATTTCATGTCTGGCGACGAACTTGAAACGGGGAAGAAGTTACAAACCTTCATGACAACACATCGCGAGAGCTCAAATGAGAGCGCCTTGTTTAGTTTGACCCAGGGCAGCGTATCTTCAGTCTACGGAAGACAGGCAATTTCGGATAAGGTGCATGCAGCAATTGTTGGCAAGGACCAAGTCTCGAGATTAAGATTGTTAGGATCGTTCTTTGGGTCGGAACTCGACACATTGGAAAGATTGCTTGCTCTGAGATACTTGGTAGCATCTTGTGAAGGTAAGCAACCGAAATGGCTTAAAACAGTACAATGGCTGACCTTTTCAGATACCAGGAGACCGCCTGATGACGACGATGAAATTGACAGCTTTGATATGTCCACAGCATACTCAATTCTGTGTGCGAATATGTGGAAAGTCAAAGATCTTCGTCAATTTAGTCTCATTAGTGAAATAATGGAGCTGATGCTTCGCACCAAGGTATTTTCTTATTCAACAGTGCTTTCATGTATTTTCTGATCATAGCACAGGCACGGTCCATGTCACAATGGAACATCGATAGTACTCTCGGTAGTATAACCATCCTGTGTTCTCGAAATGGCCCAGCCGTTCGAGCTACTCGAGCAGGAACAATCTACCTCCATTTATGCCGCCTTCTACAGGCAGTTCTTACTTCACACCGCATCAAGCTACAAGGTCACTTCCACCTTGTGGTTCAAGTGATGCAAACCCTCCTACGATGCTTGTTCGTACCTCTTCCTCACAGCACGACAAAAACCACTAAATTTATGGCACCGCCACCTTGGCTCTCATCCCCAAAACACCAACTATCGGCCAAACATGCCGTAGCTTTTACTCGTCTTGTTACGTTAATTTGTGACCCCAGCGTCTCATCTGTTACTCGGTCCCAGCACAACAACCTCACATCGGCCACTAATAAAGCGAAAGGAATGGCAGCTCAACACATGCAGCTTTTACTTACGACTTACATAAAACTGCAACTTGAAATGAGAATGTTGCCGGAGATTAGGGAGAAGATGATTCCAGGTTTATATGCGATCTTTGATATCACGACACCTGAGATGAGAAGAATGGTTAATGAGAGTTTGGACTCGAGTGGACGATCTGTGTTTGGTACTCTGTTCAGGGATTACCAGAGGTTTGGAAAGTGGAAAGGTTAGGTATCAGTTGTCCAGAATCGCAAAGAACTTCCAAAAGATATTTGAATGGTGCACCAAGTACTTTTTTCCCGTTTTTGAAATGCTCGCCCATACTCATTCTTTAATCCACTTCGCTATATCCTCGCCCCATTTCTCGCCCTCCTTTTCGCCCGCTAACAATGCCCAAGGAGGGCTTATATGATTGTGACCCGGGATAATCTTCTCTTCAATCCCCTCCCCCCATGTCTCCTTCCACAACTCCTGAAACTCCCTCATCGTGCTAACAATCTCGTCTTCCGCATCCAGATCGCCCACCACACCCAAAATCTTTGGAAGACCCACATCCTCCTTCTTCACTCCCCTATCCTTGAACCCCTGCAAAAGACTCAACGCAGAATGCTCTTTGGACTTTTCCAACTCCCCAAAGTAAACCTTCAGCATATCCATCCTCTCCTGATCCTCCGCTCTCCCAAAATGCGTTGGGGCAGATAACTGAATCGCACCTTTCAAAACCAACTTCCCCGTTCCCTGAACATACCCCCCTCTCTGCTCCTGAAACTGATCCTCAAGGAGGAAAGTAAGCGTATGCACACCCCCCGCCGAATTCCCCATCGTAACCACCTCCCTCTCCCCCCCCTCCCCAACAAGATTCTCCTCCACCCACTTCAACGACAACGCGACATCCTCCCCGCCCGAGGGAAACACCGCATCCTCCCCCCCAAACGCCGAGTTCACCCGTCGATAATCCGGAATCACCGTCACGATCCCGCGTTGTGCGAAGAACGTCCCGAGGTTATGATATACCAACCCGTCCGGCAGGGCGGGACTTAGTTTATCGCCCCGCGTCAGGCCGCCGCCGTAGTAGAATACTAGGATGGGAGCGCTGGACGTGTCGGCGCGGGGGGGGAGATAGACGTCCAGCTTTTGCCGGGGGTGAGGACCGTAGGAGTGTTCTGTGCGTGGGGTGGAGAGGATGGTGGCCTTGTTGGCGAGGAGGAGAGGGGTGTAGATTTGGAATGTGGGGAGGAGGATGGTGTTTACGGCGCCGGTTTGGCCGGTGCTTTTGTGGAGGGCGAGGACTTGTTCCATTGTTTTTTTTTGGAGATCCTGTGGTTTGCTCTTGAGAATAATCTTTGGGTTCCTGGGGTGGAGATGGGAAGATATAGTAAAGGCGTGGTAAGATTGTATTTGTAATGTTGAAGCTGTTATGTGGGGTCTGTCATTGGTGGGGCATGCGAGGTAGATGGCGATGTTGCCCGGAATATATCTTGTACCAAGAATTCCTGTAGTTGAAGTCTGGTTACTGTGGAATATGAAGTAATTGAATGACGGGAGTGAGGTAAAGCTTAGCCAAATAAAGTTAAAGGCGCGGGAAGCGTCAGCTCTTACTACTTCGCGTAAACTCAATTGTACGAGTAGGTTTGGATGTTTCAAATAAATTGAATAACAAAATCGGCTTCATCTACTTAGTATATGTTAAAAGGCTAATTAAACCTGTAGAGTACCACCGTAAGTAACTAATGAAATCTACTATCAGTAAGTAATATACCGTGGTTCTTGTTTGAGGCATTTTGTTTCCCAGTCGGTAAGCTTATTTATTAAACTTCCCAAACCTTAGGGTTGTTTGATTGAGTTTTTGCTTCTTCTTGGATGAATCAGCGACTGTATCTACGGGTCAACGAAGTAGATCACCCTGCGAAAGAATGAATATGATTTAACAAGATTGCAAGAAGCTTTCACGTGTAGAAAGGTATATAAATTGTAAAAGAATCCGACGAAAGTTTGTGAGTATCCTACATCGAAAGACTATAAACGCCTGGGTATCTCATCTAAATCCATAATGCATAGCCTTCAAAGAAATTCTTTCTTCTGAACACTCCTTCGTTACAACCCCTAGAAAGACTCAAAAGAGTCATTCAAGTACGCGACGAAGCTCTCCTTGATCCTCTTCATCGGAATAGCGTTGGACCTATTCAATCCAATATACTGCCTGCGAATCCTCTGCAAAGCTGGCAAGCCCACAGAATTCGCAGGCAACTCGACTTTCAGTTCCTCTCCCTTTCCTTCTCCCACATTCAACTCGCCGCCTCCTTCTCCGGGATGATCTTTCGACCATTCCAGGATTCGATTTAGAATGTTCTGTGTCGTTCTATCTAGCTCGTAAAGATAATCTTCACTACTTGGAGCTTTCAGAACCGTTGCCGCATTTGGCTTCACAGTTTTCTTCCCACCCTCCGCATCGGATCCAATTATGTCATCCCAAATCGCATCTCCAGGCGGCGTTTCATCGTCCCAGACTACTGTGAATAACGGACTATCCCACCGCGCAAAAGCATTCGGCTCCTCATATCTAAACACCAAGTTCTCCCAGCACTCTTTTTCGTATGGAAGATCCTCTTCACCCTTCCCCTCACTATCCTCCGCAAGCCGCGATTCATTGACCGCGCGTGCTGCATCTACACTCGTACCAACATGCACAACGCAATGAGGTGTCCTCACAGCCTTTGATTCGCAATATAACTGATACCTCCATCCCTTGATATAATTACCGCCATCCAGAATCACGATGTCCTTATTGCTGAGCACCCGTTTTACCGCGCCGTATATGGTTGCGCGAGCGTCCTTCTCGGAGGAGTTGTTGGAGCGCTCATGCTGATCTTTCGATTCTAGGTTGTAGACTCGTCGCGGTATTGAGAGCGTGTGGTCCGATATGAGGTGGACGCGCAAGGAAGAATTTGGAGAGGTTGCGGGCAGTGAGGATATTCGGGATGTGAGGTATTCTTGGAGTTGTTTTGCGCGATAAGTTTTGCCCGACGTTGGGTACCCGGAAAGTATTATTAACTGAGAGTTTCGTTAGCAAGTTAATAGAGATTCGGTGGAAAGGGCGAGATATACAGGCATAGTCTAATTGAATGGTGTTGTGCTGGATATTGAGATGGACGCGAGATGGCGGGGAGAAATAATTTCTGCCCAGGAAATCGGCGGGGTACCAAATCAGGTGGGGCTTGCTCGTATTCACTTCGTATTTGAATACGAGCCCCGTTCCTTGTCTTTGGGCTAATGAATAGGCGAGTTATGGTCCCTTTAGTACCTACTGGTTGGAAGCACTGGTAGCTTCAACGCCTAAGACATACAGGTTTTTAATGCATTTCTGGATGATTTTATTAGTATGGTGTACATCAGAGTGTGATGGATTGTGGACGTAGAAGTGGAAAGAAGTAGGTATCTCGAATAAATCCATTTACTTATTCTGTTCTTTGGATTTCTAGTATAATAATAATGATAGAGTGATACTATTTGGATAGAAGTGCATTATAGATATCTTTGCTTGACACGAGGTGTTTGTTGTTTGATGCTATAATACCTCCTAGATAAAGAAATGAAGCTAAGTAAGTATCTTATAAAATATATATTAGTGTGTTTATTCCAAAAAACAAAAAATACTTGGTAAGATTATATATCAGGAAAAGAACTAATACCTTGAAGGCCTGAGGGGGGGCAGGCCGGGGGTGGTTTACACCGTTCTACGACCGTGTCACGAATCACGTGTTAGCACGTAACGAGTGAAGACCAGGCGGCGTTCTGACAGGACAGGCACATCAGGATAGTTATAGCAAATAGGGATGCTTAGACTGGCTAAGCGATCCAGGGATTTTACTTGGATAGTATCACGTGATATGGTCACATGACCATTGGAGCTTGCAGGAGCTTTGCGTGGAGCTTATGGAACGTACGTTCCATAAGATCCAGGTCTTGGGATTACAAGACCCTCGAGTATGAAGGTTCTATATAAGACTGGCACGTCTGCAATTAGATAGGAGCTTCGTGCTCAACTTAGTTATCAATCTTATCATATTAGTTTGACATCTTTGATACAAGTAACGAGTTCACTTCCAAGTGAACAACCCGATAGTCTTCTTCTTATCATAGCATACCAACCAGCAAACACCCAGCCAAGTTTAGTTAGCCAGCGAGTATTTGTTACAGACCGTTCCTAACTTATTATAAATCTATAAGTATTATATTCTCGTAATAGTATTAGAATAATTTAATCTTTGTTCCTAGATTATAATCGTTATTAGAAGGAACAAGATTTTTATAATACTTATAGGCAATAATTATATATTTGTAATCGTTATATCTTAGAGGGGAAAGCGGAGTTTTTTAGATAGTCTCGAGACTTTTGTAACGAATACTCAAACTGGCTAACTAAACTTGGCTGGGTGTTCGCTGGTTGGTATGCTATGATAAGAAGAAGACTATCGGGTTGTTCACTTGGAAGTGAACTCGTTACTTGTATCAAAGATGTCAAACTAATATGATAAGATTGATAACTAAGTTGAGCACGAAGCTCCTATCTAATGGCAGACGTGCCAGTCTTATATAGAACCTTCATGTTCCTGTGCTAGCTTGCTAGCCCAGTCGCCCCGTCGCTGCAAGACCGCGCGACCGGTCGCCCTGTCTAGCACAACTAGTCACGTGATACGAATGGAATGAAATCCCTGGATCGCTTAGCTAGTCTAAGCATCCCTATTTGCTATAAGAGATATGATAGTGCTCGACCTGTCAGGACACCGCCTGGTCTTCACTCATCACATGCTTACACGTGATTCGTGACAACTTTTACCTAAGAGTCTTATATAGAATCTAGTCTGAAAAGAAAAAACGCCAGGTGATAGGAGGAGGGCAGTTTATATATAAAGATAATTTTAAATATTAGATAAGTTAGTTATATTAATAAGATTATTAAGAATAGTTTCCTAAATATAAAAGCGTTCTAGGACTGTCCCAAGAGCGTTTCGAGTGTCACGAATCACGTGTTAGCATGTGACGAGTTAGTCCAGACGGCGTTCTGACAAGACAGATACATCCAGAGTAGTTATAGCATAGCAGTGGTTACTCAGGGTTGTTGAGTATCCAAGGATTTTATAGCATTCATAGTCACGTGATAAAAGCGCGACAGCGCGACAACTCGCTTGTCGCGCTGTCGGCATTTGGGATTTGGAGAACGAAGGTTCTATATAAGACTGGCACGTCTGCAATTAGATAGGAGCTTTGTGCTCAACTTAGTTATCAACCTTATCATATTAGTTTGACATCTTTGATACAAGTAACGAGTTCACTTCCAAGTGAACAACCCGATAGTCTTCTTCTTATCATAGCATACCAACCAGCGAACACCCAGCCAAGTTTAGTTAGCCAGTTTGAGTATTCGTTACATCGAGGGCGTCCAGGGACCGTCCTGGGACCGTCCTAAACCCGTCCTAAATCCTACTTCTAAGTGCACATATGGTTACGTAAGCAGGGTGCGCAGCCATGGTGCGCAAGGCACTCCCGACCTACGCCTGGGAGAGTCTACGGGCACACACCCCGCGCGCGCCTACGATCTCTAATTCAACAACGCACGTCATGACGCCCGCAACGCGCGCCCGTCAAATTTCGCTGAATCGACTGAATTTAACACTTATATCTTTATAGCGTTAGGGTTGAGCGCATGGGAGCAGTACCGAGTACGTGATGTGGCCCGTGCGCTACGGCCTGCATGCGGCTCTGTAGGGCACTTTTCCGCACCGTCCCGGGACCGTCCCGGGAGCGTCCGAAAAGCGTTCGAGGACTATTCGAGAACGATTCTAAGACCATTTATAAACTAGACTATTAATATAAAAGATAGTTATAAATCTAAGACTATTTATAGCTAAAATAGTCTTAAAACTATTTTATATTTAAATAGTTATAACGTAGTCCACAAGCGAGTTGGATTCCCAAGCGAAATGGATTTTTTTTCTTGGCACTCCACAAACTTATTCAGAGCGCGTTTTTTCTTAACAAACAAAATGGTTAAGCATTGGACAGAGTCTGATATGATTCTTGCGTTAAATACGCTTCTTACGAACCCACATTTAAAAGTTAAGAAGGTTGCGCGGATCTATAAAGTACCTTATACGACATTGCTTAATCGAGCTCATGGAATATTATCACGACAAGATTCTATCGCTAAATCTCGAAAACTTACAGTGATTGAAGAAATAGTTATCGTACGACATATTCTCGACCTAGATTCTCGATCATTTCCCCCACGAGTACGTTGTGTTGAAG